ATTGTGCATGGAATCACCCAGCCAGAGTAAATAGGTGGGTGGAGAAGCTGGGCTGGAATAGCTAGACTCAGGCCTGGTTTGGTAAAGCAATCATCTACAGGTCCGAGCTGCTGCTTGCCAAAGAGTTTCTCCAAAACACAATCCCCCAATGGCAAGTCAAAGAGACTCAAAGTCAGTTTGAGCCGTAAAATAATTCCTTCTTTTAAAGGTAACAGAATAAAAGTGTAACAGCATGAAATGCAGTTGAAGGCAAACTGATTAGCCCTCCTTTGAATTTATTCTTTTTAAAATATTTCCCAAATAATGTTTAAGCGAGAGATTTTTTTGTCAGTACATGTTTAACTAGTTATTTTACAATATGCTATTACTCAGCTTAAAGTGAAATTTAATGGCCTAATTAGATTAAGTTATGTTAAGGGGGATGTGACACAGTGGTGCGGTAGGTAGTGCTGTCGCCTCACAGCAAAAAGGTCGCAGGTTCGAGCCTTGGCTGGGTCAGTTGGCGTTTCTGTGTGGAGTTTGCATTTTCTCTCTGCGTTCGCACGGGTTTCCTCTGGGTGCTCCAGTTTCCCCCACAAGTTCAAAAACGTGCTACAAGTGAATTGGATAAGCTAAATTGTATGTTGTGTGTGTGTGTGTGTGTGTGTGTGTGTGAATAAAGCTGCGGTCACATTAGAGTTTGAGAAAAGGGGCGGGATTAAACAAGCTTATTAGACATTTAAAAAAGCGAGCGATTGCTCCATGTTTTAAATTTCTTTCCAGAGAGGTCATGTTTTGATCCTCGATTGGTCTCACGCAGTCAAGTGATGCAATTTCGCAGGTCAGAGTTCACCGAGCTTGAACTTTGCACCGCAGCAACCTGCGAAACTTGACGAATGACCCCACGTTTCTGGTCTGACGCATTCGCGTGCGTATGAATGGAAGTCTATGGGAGAAAAAAGCCCAGTGCGACTGCAGCTTAAGTGTGTATGGATGTTTCCCAGTGATGGGTTGCAGCTGGAAGGGTATCCGTGGAATAAAAACTGGATAAACTGGAAAAACATATGCTGGATAAGTTGGTTCATTCCGCTCGGGAGACCCCAGATTAATAAAAGGATTAAACAGAAAAGAAAATGAATGAATGAATGAGGAGGGCTAATAATTTTGCCTTCAAGCATATTAATGATATAATCTCTGAAGGATTTTAGAGACTGCCCAGAATAACTGTAATCTCTGCAATTGATTTTGGCCATGAAGTCGAGCAGCTGTTGAACAGGGTTAAGTGCTCCACATGCGTTTGGCTGAGCTTCAGACTGAATCGGTCAATGATTCATCCTGCACCAATCTGAGCTATCTGTTTCCGATTAAACAGAGAATTAAAGGGTTTGTGAGATTTCACAACTCATTGCCTTGCTCCATAAACGTATAAATGCACCATTCTTAATCTTGCCTCTGCTCTCCTACATGATTCCAAAGGCTTTCACATTCAGTATGATTTCAACTGCATGACCTTTGCTGAATGACTGTACTAGTGTGATTTTGTGGTGGACACACACACACACACACAAAAAAACTTACTTACTTAAAAAAATAACTTGACTTCAAGTTGATCTTTTGGTATCAGAAGTGGCTTACATAAATGGCAAAGGCCTCTAGATTATAGTTATTTTACCAAAATAAAACATGCCTTGATTTTTAATCTTTTAATTAGGACATTAAGGTCTGACTTTGTTAGTACAGCGTAGAATATAAAGTCATGGTGCAGTGGAAAAATAATTAATATAGCGTATGACTCTATGAGCTTAGACAACTGCATTCATACATTTCAGCAATGACTCAAATAACTTAAGTCATCTGGAATGGCAAAGAAGCCTTCTTGCAGGACTCCCAGAGTTCATCAAGATTTTTTGGCTTAACTGTCAATGCCTCCTCCATCTTACCATAGACATGCTCAATTATGCTCATTTCTGGTGACTGGGCTGGCCAATCCTGGAGCATCTTGACCTTCTTTGCTTTCAGAATCTTTGATGTGGAGGCTGAAGTATGAGGAGCGCTATCCTGCTGAAGAATTTGTCCTCTCCTGTTGTTTATAATGTAATAGGCAGCACAATTGTCTTGATACCTCAGGTTGTTGATGTTGCCATCCCCTCTGCAGATCTCTCACACGCGCCCATACTGAATGTAACTTCAAACCATGATTTTTCTTTCACCAAACTTGACTGATTTCTCTGAGAATCTTGGGTCTATGCGGGTTCCAATAGGTCTTCTGCAGTATTGTGATGATTAGGATGCAGCTCAACAGATTATTCATTGGACAAATCGACCTTCTGTCACTTTTCCAAATGACCAACTAGAAGTCAAGTTGTTATTTGTTGCTCTTATAACTGGGATCGACGACAAGACTTTTGTCAAGCAGTGTACAGGGTTCTTACAGGTGCTATAAATCCTTGAATTATGATCTCTCTCAATCTTGTGATTGTTTTCAAGACTTTGGGTAAAGTGGTTCATAATTATGTCACTTAACAGTTAACACAAGTTTCACAATTTAAATAAAAAAAAAAAAAATATATAAATATTTTTGCTTTAGCATAAAATGAAAACTCTGGAGTCTGTGCATATGCCAGTAGCATGACCTGTGTGTCATCTTTACGTGTAAAATGTGAGTGAAATATAAGACAGTAAATGACTACAGAATACTGTTTATGTATAAAAATATGCAATTAACCATGTTTTAAAAGTGCTAAAATAAGTCTGAAAATGCATCTGAAAAGTGCCCGAAAAGTGTTCAAATTTGACTTCAAAAATGTGTAGGAACCCTGTGTAAATCCAACTGGAGAAGAAAACATTAAATAATCACGTCCTGAGGTGAGAAGCAAACTCGAAGATCTCATTCCTCAATTTTGTGACTTTCATTTTAATTTTATTTAACTAACTCCTTATAGTATCCTAACGTTATTTTATTTCAAAAACTTACAAATTTACATTTTTTAATAATTTATTAAATTTATTTACTTTTAAATCTGTTTGTTTCTTTCTTAAATCTATTTTTCACCACAGCACAATTAAAGGTCCCCTGAAGTGCTTTGAAATATGGACTTTTACTCGATGTTTGATGTAATCTTAATTGAAACACAGAGCGTGTGGGACAGTGTAGCTCCTCCCTTTTTTAAAAACAGCCAATAGCGAGATAGTGAGAGCGATTGAGCTCAAGTGCATCAAATGAAAAGCAAATGTGAAGCGTCTTGAAAGGGGTGGGGATTAGATCAGATACTAAAGAGCATTTGATTTGTTATGACCTGCAGAGAACAAACTAGAAGCCTTACATGTTTGGAGCACACTACTGATTGATATCCTAAAACAGGGTATATATGCAGGAATCCTAAATGTAATTTCAACACCTTTTTAAGACTTTTATAAAGACCTTCTCAGACTATTTTAAGACCTCATCACCACTTCAAGTTTTAATCAGTATCAAACCCTTAACTTAAAACAGTTGTAATTAAATAAATCTGTTGCATGGTTGAGCTCCATTGAACTCAGATAAGCTTGGAAGAGACAAAGCTTAAAATAATAAATTACACGGTTGTTTTCAGCGACAGGCTCCAGCCACTGTTTAAACCAAGGGTCTCAAACTGCCGGTCAAAATATAACGAGATTCGCCTCAAAACATGTTTTTGAATCACTATCATTGTTGTGTGCAGCCGCATATACACTTGTTGTTTTGACCCCTACCTACTGGACATTTAAGTTATTGTACGATATTCAGGTTACTTTCGGTTTCTTTCAGTATATAATCTCATGCAGATTTCTGGGGCTGATTTAAATGTTGAAATGTATGTCCACAAGTGCTCTATTTGTACTAAAGCTCTGTTTTTGTAAATATTCAAGGGTTATTTGATTATAATCAGTTTTATACCACCTGCATTTGGTTGTAAAAACACCTCTTCATGGCTTACATGTTATACTGCTGGTGTAAATATAAGCTTGCTAAGTTGCTAATATTTGATTCAAATGGTCTCATTTAATAGATTTTTCTCATGTGCATATTAAGAATTGTATAAAAATTGTGCATTAGTAAAATGTTACATCTGGCTAAAATGAACATGTTAAAGTAAATGTGAATATAGACATACTTTCTCCCCTTTGTTGTAGTTTTACAAAAAATAATGATATTAAGAAGAACTATTACCAGTAAAGTCAATAAAATTACTCAAAATGCATTCTGCTGTCTAGCCCTATCTGTTAAACATTTGGTTAAGCAACAATTAATTGGGACATAATCATTATTCATTTTATTATGATGCATATTAATAAGTTGTAGTATTTTCATAGCAATTTAAACTACCAATATGTACAGCAAAAAACAAAAGGAGCTTTGATACTCAGGGAAAGAATGTCTGAGTGCATCAATTACATCAGAGTTTCACTTTTTTCCATGTGCTAGAATGTTAAAATGGCCTTGCTATGAATTGTCAGTCACTAAATGGACCCCCACTAATTTGAGTTTGAGACTTCTGGTTTAAACTCATCTTTTTAACCAGGTGAACACAAACTTACTTTTTCCCATTTTGCCGTCTGTTTCACTACATGTGGAGAGCGTCACATCACTTTCCGCATTTGAAGCAAATTACAGGACATCACCTCGATGGAGGAGCTTGGCCAGATGCGTCAGGCCCAAATCAATCGCATGGATCGAGCACGTCGTTGTTAATATTAGAAGGAAAATAAATATATTTATGCTTTTTTGGAGTCAAACACTTTGGACAACGCTTGAACAAAAATTAAGACCTCGTGAAAACTGGATTAAGACTTTTTAATACCTTTTAGGGGACTTAATTTTCTCATAATTGATTTATCACCTTTTAATACTTTAAGACCCAGCGGACACCCTGAAAAACTAGCAATACTGATACTGACATCTAAAAAAAAACTATTTTAATTTTATGGGACATTTAAAGCATTTGTAGATCTGGTAAATAAATATATATAAAGTGACAAAAAAGGGCAGACAAGACAATATATTAATAACCAATAGCATTTAATGGTCGCTCCGCACTCTGCCCTGTACCCCTGCACTATCTCCGCCCCCTAGAGAGAGTTCCTTCCTTCCCCACAAACAGTAAAACAGGATCAGGCAAATCAGCCGTATCACCAGACCTAAACATATATGACTGTGTGTGATTTCTGAACGCATTGGTGTCTGTGTTTCTAGGTGAGGCACAACACTTTTAAATTCGATGAAAAATAAAATCTCATCATCTCATTTTTCAGCATTAGATTCTGTCCAAAGACACAATAAGAAACAAGAACAGACTTGGGGCAAGGAAGGGGCATGGGTTAGTGTCGCTAAATCTACAAAGAATAAGCTTGCTAAAAAACAAAAAACATTTTAATTACAGCAAAAAAAAAAAACAAAAAAAAAAAGAAACACTCAAGTCAAACAGCACCACCTATTGGTGGAGCTCAGCTTTGGTCATTAAACAGGGGCGGAAGTGAGCAGGACATAAACAGACAAACATTTGGGGCTCCAGAGCAAACATCTGAATCCCAGCACTGAAGATCAGCTAACCTACAGGTCCTGCTGCATTTATTAAATGATCTGATGGCAGTTCAGAAAGGCATTTAAAACTAGGGTTTAAAACTCCATTGAAATCACTGAAAAGAACCCCATTGACAGTATTGCTTCCAAAAGTTCATAGATCCATTCCAGAGGTGGAAAATATAATAATAATAATAAAAATAAGAGCGAGCAAGGAAGGAAAACCGGGACGGGCTTTGTGTCATCTAAAGATTCTTTAGGAATATTGTACACTTGAATGCACATTAGTATAAATGGACTCGTCCCATTACTGTAAGAAAAATCAAGCTGGCCTCATTATAAATGTGTGTGTGTGTGTGTGTGTGTGCATGTGTGGGGTGCAGGGCATATACCAGTCTCTTCCTCCAGTCTGAGCTGCTGCACTTCGGTCCTTCTCACAGATAATACAGCCTTATATTGAATCCCTCTGGCTCACTCGATGCGGGGCGCCTTTAGTCCCCTTCCATCCGAGAATGAGAAATAAAAGAAATAAAAACCTTCCAGATGCCTGGGAGAGGAAGAAGGGTGGAGGGGGATGCGTCTTATCTCCATCCCTCTCTTACCCAGTTCCTCCTGCTCCCTCAGTTGGCAGGTAAGGGGTTCGACCCCCTTCCGATGCACTGCAGAGAGGGGTGGGGCAAAACACCTCACGCGCTCTGCTCCAATCAGAACAAGCAAGGATGGGCGGGGCTCTCAGTTTGAGGCGCTGCTGTTGGAGGAGTTGGAGGTGGAGGCCACGGCCATGCTGGAGTTACCCGTGGCCGCCACGGACTTGCGTATGTGCGGGAGGAGGTAGGGGTCACTGGCCAGCTGGTGAACATCAATACGGTCCTCCTTACGGTACACCAGACATCTGCGGATGAAGGCCTGAGGTGGACACAGAAGAAGGTGTTCATTTATTATGGCATCTGATTTATGAAAGTAGCTCAGGTTGAATGAGGTTTTAAACATGTTATGTTTTTTAAATCGTTAAATCGTTTAAATTTGGGTTGCACAATACATAATTTGAAAACATAAGCAAAGTTCAACAATAATAATGTGAAGGCATTTTTGATGAAGGTGTGACTACAAAATTAAGCATAATTGGGCACAAGAACTGATCAAATTTGTAGCTTTAACAAAGGACTAATTGTATTTATTTCTACAATTAATCATTTTTACATGTGATTACATTGATACCATTAACATTTTACCTCAATGGGCCCCTTTCACAAGATGGTGATGATGCAATTAAGTGATTAGCATCTAAATTGCTTGAAAGTTTTCCATATCTTGATTCAAAAACATGTACATTAATAAAGCTATATTTAGTATTAAATCATCTTTGCATGTAATTACGAAAAATGAATGAACACTTAATTTTCTCTCTTCTTTCTACCATTACCACTCTGATACAACTTTTTTTACCGCCTTATTTTGAAAGTCACAAAAAAAGTTACAAAAAAAAAAAACAATCACTGAGTTTTTCCTTTTATTATTTGAGCAAATAGAAATACAAGATGTATTTGTGGTTTTCTCCCATTAACTGCATTTTAGGTTTACCCAACTATGACAACGTCAGGATCCATACTGTTATTATATTTTAAGCAAACCCACTCCCAAGAAAATCACAATCGAATGTAAAATGATGAATTCTTTCCAAATGGAGCAGTTTAAATCTTATGAAATAACATTCACACGGCAATATATAAATTGCAGAAAACTAAATATTGCAAATGTCAGTTTTACAATATCATGTATCCCTAGTTTAAATTATGACAATGTTGTCAAAATGATTCCTTTGACCTGCAAAACAGTCGTCATGTCAATTATACAGTGCTCAGCATATACAAGTACACCCACTACCTTTTAAATTCCTATTTTTAATAAGAAGCTTTATAATATTATATTTGTGCATATACATTAGTCAGTACTGAAGCCAAATCTGGAGCTTATATATTAAAATAACTTACGATAACTGTCCAAAAACTAGTACATCCAAACTTATATGCTATAGAAAAATATTAAATTCAAAAAAAAAAAAAAAAAAAAATCAAGAAGCAAAAAATGTAAAAAAAATTTAGCTGAAATTTTTTAAGTTGTCACTTTTTTTTGCAATATTTTGCTTGAATTTAATTGTCTTATCTTTCAATTTCTAAATATGTTTGGCGATTAAAATATTATTTTAAAAAAATGTATCCGTTTAATAAATCTGTTTTGTTCAAATGCACCAATATACATTACCCATATTCGTTGAGAAATGGATGCAAATATTCATTTTCAAAATGGGGTGTATTCAATTACGTTGAGTATTATATAAAATAATTAAACAAAATGGCAGACAATAAATATTAAGGTTCCAGAGACATGACTAAGTATTAGCAAATCCGACTCAACTAGTCATCTTTATTATATCCTAGCAACACAAAACCATATTGATGATACAATCTCACAACCTTTTCTGTGCCACTAATGGCCCGTTTCCACTGTGTGGTATGGTACGGGTTGGTACGCTTTTATGGTTTGCTTTTTAAAAAAACAAAACAAAAAAAACAACAAAGTGACATTTTTAAATACACAGCCGAGACATTACACCGCAATAATATTTACATATAATAACTAACCATGGTTGACCTGAGCTTAAACAAACCTTGTCGTCATCTTGATGAACAGCCACAAAGCCTAGAGAAGCAGAATCTACCCTGTGTACCGTAGTTGTTTACAAAACTGCCTAAAACGCAAGCGATTTTACTTTCTTGCGTTAGCTCGCCACGCGTCCATATTTGAAATAACGAACTTCTTGTGCTGTTGATAATAATGTGCACGTGATTATTGAAGTGCTTCTGACAGCGGATCCTTTCTGAAATGGACAAACGCAAGAGTGAAGCATGTAAAAACAAAGTTTGGTACCCTTTTGCCAGTGGAAACGCAACCCTGATAAAGGTGACCCGTGCCGTACTGTACCCCTTGGTGGAAATGGGCTATAAAGGATGCACAGCATTTGGTGTTTAGAAAGTTTCCTGCTAAAAAGGTTAACATGGCACAAATAGGGCAACCGCAGGCAGAGGGCCAACAGCGAGTAAAACACACCTTTTGCATATAGCAATTGTTATATATTGTTTTTATAATAATTATCAAAAAAAGAAAGAAAAAAAAACAACATACTTTACACTCTATATAATAATTTGAAAAACGTTTTGGCTAATAAAACTAGCTGCAATCCTAATACTTTAAGTAAATGGAGTAAATTCAGGTAGTTCATGACAGCTTAATAACAAAATTAAAATTCCCAGGGGAGTGAAATATGCTTTCTTTTATTATTTTGCATTTGTAAATGAAATATCAGGAAAGATTTATGCGATTGCAGCTGTTATGAATCTGTTTGCAGACTTGGGTCACTGCAAAACCCAAATATGTTATACTTACTGGCAAAGCATTTATGCATTTAAAATTATGAAGTAAAGAGGATTTAAAACTTATGGAATGCGAATTAAAAAATGTAAGAAGTCAGTAAATAAACACAGCACAATGGAGTCAATGATGGTGTAATACTTATTTGGTGACACAGACACTTCAACAGCCCTGTGACTGAACCTCTTGGCTCTGGGAACACAGCACAGAAAGAAAAAAAAAGAGAAGTACCTTAGCCTCAGGCGAGACTCCTGGTTTGGGAGGAAACTGCACCTCTGTGGCTTTGAGAATAGTGTTCTCCTGAAGGATGTCCTGCTGGGACTGATTATGACCGAACGGCTGTGTGGTGAAGACGCGATGAAGGAAAAAAAATAAAAATAAAGTGAATGAATGCAAATGCACAAAGCTTTACAATAACAATAGTAGGTCTCTTGGAGACCACTAAACCAATTGGACAATTAATACACTGCCAGTAATAGATTTTTTTTTTTTACCTTCTTTCCATAGAGGCACTGGTAAAAGATAACTCCAACTGACCAAACATCCACTTTGTTGGAGATCTTAGGTGGCTCTTTTCCAACCACAAAGCACTCTGGAGGAAGATACCTGGTGTACATACACACAAAAATTTTATATTACGGACAAAAAGGCAAGAGACTGCATTTCAGCTCAAATGCTATACGAGCTTTTAGACCACCAGCAAAAAATACATTTTTTAAAGTCCATGTGAAAGTAAAATTTACAGTAACTACATTTACATGGACATCAGTAATTAAATTATTTACCTTAAACATCTAGGTGTGAAAGCACCCTTAGATTGTTTTAGAACCTGGTGCATTTTCTCCTTAGTGCAGCTCATGTGGTATATGAGAATCCAGCAATCGCACTCTGATCTGCGCCAAAACAATTGATCCGATATCGCCTGAATGAGGTGGTTTCGTCTTGATTGAAGAATTTTTTTGCGGATCGATTGTCGTGAGAAAGCAATACGATCAAACGAACCAGGCTATATAACAATGTATTATTCATTAATTGTTTTATTTGCTGTTCAGCTTAGTACCTTTATTAATCAGGGGTCGCCACAGTGGAATGAACCACCAACTTAGAGCATATGTTTTACGCAGCGGATGCCCTTCCAGCTGCAACCCATCACTGGGAAACACCCATACACTCATTCACACATACAAAATGTACAATTTAGCTTTCCCAATTCACCTATACCACATGTCTTTGGACTGATGGGTTAAACCGGAGTATCCGGAGAAAACCCACACAAACATGGGGAGAACATGCAAACTCCACAGAGAAATGCCAACTGACCCAGCCGAAGCTCAAACCAGCAACCCTCTTGTTGTGAGGCGATCATGTTACCCACTGCACCACCGTGACACCGCACAATGTATTATGTAATAGAGATATATAGCTATATAAAGAAAAAATGTAGGGCGGGATGTCATTCCTACTGGTAATTGTGAGTTTTATGTCAAATACAAAATTGAAGCGCTTAGCCGTAAGGAAAATTGACCTAAATGCATTCTTAGTTTATTTGTATTTTTCTCTATAATGTAAAATCTATAACACGTATATAATTCTAGCCAACAACTATGTATGAGAAAGTCTTACCTGTGACTTTTATTTGGTGACTATGTCTGTAGTTGTCAACATTCAAAATTAAAGAGCAGTTTTTTTTTATTTTTATTTATGACAATGAACAATAAAATATTATGAGGATGCAATACAGCTAAGTGTGACTCTGAAAAATAAATTGTAGAACTCTAACCAATTTGAGGAGAGTTTACTTGTTTTAGCTATTTTGGTCTGTTTAGACACTTTGAAAAAGTGTGAAAGCGAACTGCATCAAGAACAACGAGCAACATTGTAACCATTTTAATCCCCGTTTCAAAACAAAACAATCCATCTACAGGTCTGAAAGCAGCCTAAATAAAGCAATAATATGGCCAAGGCGTTTATAAGCTGCTTTTAGAAAGTTCCATTCATGTTCATGTTTTGCATGTTATAGTACATGGAATAAAGTCATTACATCACCACGTTATCCAATGTTTTCTCCAGAGTTTGTCAATTCATGGTTTCACTTTTATTTTATTTTTTTTACTTTAGCTGCAGTTTCACTTTCATTTGGGAACATTTCATTCATGCCACCGTGACAAACTGTCTTGGATGCGAGCATGTAGGGATAATAAGGTAAATGTGTTGTAAATGCATTTATTGTACAGAGTTTTAGATCACTAACAATCTAGGCACAATCGAGATCAGACATGGGAGGCTAACTGGTTTTAAGGTTTACCGCGGCTTGGAAAAGTCAAGGTTTTATAACCGCCAAACCGGAATCTCTAAATCATAAACTACTGGTCCAAAATAATTCACAAGTTTCTTAAAACAAAGTAAATTGTGTTTAATGAGGTAAAAGGCAGAAGTTTTAGACCCAGACATTTTAAAATAACTTATTCTGGAGCAGTACCGTGATGGCATGAAACTGTGATATTTTTATTCAAGGTTAATATACCGTCAGAATCTTAGACTGGCCCATGCCCAATTGAGATAAAAAAAAAAAGAATTTAATCAGATGATAATGACATCAAAATATTTTTTGTGTGATAATTATTTGAGCTTAACACCATGCAGGTTCTGCAGCCATTTTAATGATGAGAAGTAGACTACACAAATAAACTATATTAAGCATTACCTCAGACTGCATTAGGGTAACAGTGTTTAAAATAGCTTCAAAAGAATTAACAGAATAAAATAAGTTTCTCGCAGAATCAAAGCTGACACAATCAATTAAAACATTCCAGGCAGTTAAAATGTATTTTCAAATACTGTGGCAGGATCTTTTCCAAGTTTTAAAAACGTGCGTGTAAAAATGAAGCGAACTATTCTACAGTAGTTAAAAAAAAAAAGAAAATCTAAAGAGTTCAGATGAAAAAGCCGATAAACGCCACTACCACTAAAAATAAGCTAATGACATTGAGCAAATACTTTAGGCATGTAGTAAACGCTTGCATACGTTTGTCCCTTTGACGGTAAAAGCAGCTATGCCCTGAGAGCCAATCAAAAGGCACGATACGAATCATATGTTTTTAATATATTAATATAACAGTGTGCTAGCTTTTATGAGTTTGGTTGTAAGAGCGCCGTCTGGAAAAGTTTTAACTGACAAGATGTGCATGACAATTGCAGCTTTAGATTAACAGCATTTGTGATTTGTGAGAGAAGAACTGACCAGTATGTCCCTGCCCCTTGTGACGTCAACTCCATGCCATCCACGCCATAGTTGTCATCATCCATGATCTTGGACAGCCCAAAGTCTGTGATCTTTATCTCTCCACATGCTGTGCCATTCACCAGCAGGATGTTACCTAGATAACACAAAACCAAACAGATTAATCCCAAAGATCACAAAATGGTGCTAGCTGTCATGCTCAGCATTGTACAGAAGAGTTCATTGGGACGTGGATCAACTGGTGTCTGACCTGGTTTGAGGTCGTAATGGATGATCGGCGGGCGGATTTCATTTAGGTACTTGAGGGCATTGACGACCTGCATTATGATGGACCGGGCCTCTTTTTCTGACATTAACTTGTGCTGCTTCAGGTAGAAATCCAGATCGTTTCCCTCGCAGTACTCCAGAACAGTGCAGAATCTACAAAGCATTAGAACAACTTTCTCAGCAGTCCACGTTACACAGTGACATAACAGAAATGCATCAATGCATAAAAGTTCATAAAATATTTCAGTTAAAATCCTAAAAATTGGTCAAAACGAGGGTCTTGAAATGGGAAAAAGTATAAATTGTACACTTTTCAATAACATGAGGGCAAGTTCACTCACGAGTCAGTATCCAGGGAAAAGTAGTCATACAGTTTGACTATTCTGGGATGGTCCAGCTCTTTATGGATTCTATATTCTCGACAGGCATGCCTAAAAACATGTCAAGAAACATTTTAGTAACATTAACAAAAGACCTCAAGAAGGCTTGAATAAAATAAAAAGATCATATGTGAAGTAAGGAAATGCTATGGGAAAACATAGCAGGTCACAAAAAAATCTTTGAAACCCTTATCTTATTCATTTACAGAAAAACCAGATCAGTGACCTTTTTATATTAAATGCAAGTACAGTCAGATTTGACCCTAAATCCAAAATATATCCTATATTAAAAGTGAGGAACAAATCAGAATGTATACAATAAATAATAAATAAAACACCAATAAAAGAGAAAGTGCACAATACATAAAAATTTCATTTTCATTTAAAGAGAAACAGACAATCCAAGTATGCATTAATCGTATTATGTAATTCAAGACATTGTTTCACGGCTTTATCAAGTGCATTTATGGCTGTTGTAAAAACAGCTCATTGGAACATTTCTAAAACTGTTGTACTTCACTTTAAAGTTTAAATAAACCCTCGAGTATAATTTTTTTTTTTTTTTAGATTTTAACAGATTTGTGCTTGTTGAGCATCAGTTAAGACAACTTTAGCACCAGTCAGCTTTATTTGTGGATAAACCTGGATAATTTTGAGCTTTTGTCAGCCAATTTCATCTTCTGGGTTTAAAACCATTTTTGGGGCAGGATCAAAATCGGCGACGTAGCATGCATTTGCTAGGGCAGTGATGACATGTTGGTTGGTTTCTCATTATTATTCATAGCAGAGTCATCTTATCCTATGAGAAGACCCTGCTTCGGTAATTATTAATGAGAGCACGTGCCTTCCGAAGGCAGACCCACAGCGCACAGCATGCAGAATTTAGCCATTCATGAAAGGTCGCATGTGTTTGTTTCCATGATCCACAGAGATTGTTGCATTCCCCGTGATGCTGTCAGGGCCGATACGGCAAAGCTGGTGGTTTGCATCAAGCATTTTTGTTGGGAGAGCTGTATGAGAATTGGAGAATGTCAGACTTTGTCTTTTATGAGTTGAGTTTGTTACCATTTAGACACATCGCCTATATCCGTGCTGCTGTGTTCGCCTACGTTTAAAATCCTCCATATTACTGGCAGGGTTAATGGTTAAAATAGATAAGGCAAGAGACCTTCTGCACTGCTATCCACTGTGTCTGCATTCAGACCCGGGGATTGAGGAGGAGAGAATTCTTCTCATTTACAGTGTTTATATAAACAATTATCTTTATAAAAATTTAACAAATTGTGGTTATGTTTATATGAAATTACGAATAACATATGTAGCAAGACATTAAATTACTTACTGTTTATTTCTTTGCATTTTAACTTTGTAAACTATGAAATCAAGCATCTTCTCAGAGTTTGTGTCTCATTTTTTGAGCTAAATGACAACAGTTGTTCGTTCCCCTCTTACTCCCTCTGCTCTGCTGGCCACGCCCACTCGCAGCGCTCCACGCCAATCATGAAGCTTTTTTTAAATTCCAAGGTAGACTTGAACCGAAAAGAGAGGAGTTTCATGGCCCTTCAAGTATTCTATGTGCAGCTTTATAATCGAGCTTGAGAGTGGCAAGCAGAGCAGTTTTGAACTAAAAGATGCAGAATTAAAAGTTGCAGAGCTGAACTCAAAGATGCAGCGAGTTTTAGGGCACAAGAACAAAACTCACTTGTGGTAGTTTTCTTTCTTCTCGTCTCTCCAGTTCTTATTAAGCTGGTGAATCTTCACAGCCACGTACCTCTGCTCAGTTAAGTCGAAGGCCTGAAGGAAGAGAAAAGAACAGGGAGACCAAGTCAGAACTGAAATGTTGACTAGTTGGTTAATAATACTTAAGCCCAATGATTTCGACCAGATGTTATTTTTTTATTAATTGTTTTATTATCCCATCACAGAAGTACTTGTCAACATCATGTACTGGTATGCTTTATGAAACAAAATCATTTTACAGGTCATTTTTTTAAAGGAATAGCTCGCCCAAAAAATGTACTTATATTTAAGTGGTTTTCAAATTTTACTTTGTATCCAAAATTCTTTAATAGTAGAAAAGAAAAATCATGGATGTCTATTGGTGCCATAAACTAGTTTGGTTAACAGCAATCTTAAAACATATTGTGTGTTTAAAAACAATAACAACAACGTCACAGGGGTTTGGGATTACCTGAAGGTCAGTTAACAAGCATTCATTTTTTTTTTCCACTTTCAATTAGGGATGTCCAGATCAGACAACGTGATCAGAAATCAGGCCCCATCACGCAGTTTCAGACTCAATTGGAATCAGACATTACCTCCCGTTTAGGACTCGAATATATAGATGCATTATATATATTCTATTTTTTAAACACATCTAAAGTTATGCAGTGGCACAGAGTTAGACCTATTTCTTGATTTCACACAAACAGCAACGTGTGCGGCATGACATCACTTTGTTGCAGAGACGCTATTGGTTAAATGTCGTCAAAGTAGAATGTGAAAGTAGCTTGAAGCGGAAAGCACAAGTATGTCTGTGGTCTGGAGGTATAATAAAGTAGATGACGACAACACTGACATAGCAAAGTGGGAGATATGTAAACTTGGGATTGCCTGTCTGTGTTTTAGGTTGAGGTGCTATTTGTGTCATATTCTATTTTTTTTTAATTTACTGCTGCACCAAAGTCCAAAAGTGAAGAATTGATGTTATTTATTACTTGACTGTTCAAGCTACCTTACAGAAATGCTCCGATTGTTAAAGTTGTTGAATGTTAAAATAATATATAGGGATAGGGTTTTGGTATCGGTAGGTACTCAAAATCAAATGACTCAGTCTTGAGGGCAATAAAACCTGATCGGGACATCCCTGTTCTCAATAAAACATTGTTGCATCAGAAATGTTGCTACCTTGTAGACCTCACTGAAGCCTCCTCGTCCGAGCAGATGCAAGAGCAGGTAACGGTCATTTAGCGTAGGATGATCTTTAAACCTAAGAGTTGGAGGGACGATAAGAGACTTAACAAAACACATCCACCACAGTGACTCTGAAATCATCCAATATCATTGACTAAACAGGCACAAGTGTGGAACTGAACTTAGAAAATCACATACTGGGAGTTATCTTCATTGTGGATTCTCTTGAGCTCGCGGATGTGAAGATTACGCACACGCTCCAACCGCTCCAGTTCCACCTGGATCTCGGCTTCCTCCTTTCATACACACAAAACCAAAACACTCTAAACACACTAAAATATTTTAAAACCACATGCAATAGGAGTGATGCGAATACCTTCTTTAGGTGGCCAAGTCTCAGTTTGAAAATTTCTTCTTGCTCGTGGTACTCTGCTAGAGACAACCTGTCAGAATGTAAACTAAAAATTAGAGCACAATCCAATGGCGATGAAGTTGGGAGTCTAACATAACAGGAGCATAGAAACTCACATTTCATTCTCGGCGCCGTTGCTCTTGCTTTTGCGTTTGTTGGGTTCTAGATTAGGAGGAGGAGTCTGACTGGCGCTGGGTGGTTTCTTTTTTATTAGCAGTTTTCTCTGTCTCTCTATTTCCTCCCTCTGCCCGTTGACTCTCTCCTGTTGTCTACACACACACACACACACACACACACACACACACACACACACACTTACTGTGACTATATATTTCTTTACATATCGATTCAAAGAATCATCACTCGAAGATCTACACATCCCCATCATTTAGTCTGTTGTCAATACTTTCAGTATAGCAATAAGGATTGATGCTTGTTTACATAATATTCAGTCTATGGAAATTTAGATTTTACAGTGCGTTTTAATTGAATGGCTGTTTTAAATAGCACACCAATGCTACTTTAATGTAGGGATGATATAATCTACTAAATAAAAAGCAACATCATCACACACATTAAGGCCAGCCAACTAAGATTTGATTTTTAAAGCAAAGACATGAGTTGCTGGCACTTAAAATGAGACCAAGTAGAAGAAAAAAAGCAGTGGAAGTAGGACTGTCAAAATTAATTGTTTCTTCGGTGACATGAACAATTCGGTATCGGTTAAGTAACAGACAATAACCGGTTATAGTGTTCTGACGTCATTTATTTTGTATGCGCTATTACGGAAGCTTACCATGGAGAGGGAGGCGAGCGCGAGTAATTAAAACACCCCAATTACTTTAAAAACGCAAAAGCTCTGCACAATTTACTGCATGCGAGTTTGCAGGAAAGTCTTTCACTGACACTGAAGTTACAGCAGAAGCCCTGTTTCACTGTAATGGAAAGTAAACTTCATTTCACTTTCTCTCTCTCCCTCCCTCCCTTGCTCTCTCAATCACTGTGGACCTTTGACCTGTGGTGTAAGGTACCGTTTCCTCTCCTCTCAGCTGTTACAATGATACTTCCGGATACAGACATGAGCACGTGTCTGCAGAGCGAGTTCTCTAACACCTCTATCATGGATCAGCAGGGATCACGATTTTTTCAGTTCAGTATTGAAATATCTACAGTATTTGTTTTAAATTTTCATTAATTAAATTACACCAAGAATCAAAAAGAAAATTGAATCGATACAAAAAAGTGAGTGAGAATCCAATCAGGACATGTGAATCAATATCCAGCTCTATTTGAAACTAGGGTTGTAACGGTATGAATTTTTCACGGTATGATAATCGTCTAAAACAATACCACGGTTTGACGGTTTCGCGGTATACGGTATGTTACAAATGTTACAAAATAATAGAACAGTGAAGCAAATTTGACTTTCCAAATAATATATTTTTAGTTACTATAAACAACACCACTTACAATGAACAAATAAAAATAAGAAAATAATAAATAATGTGTCAAAGTCCAAATAAAGTCCAAATAAACATGGTGCAAATCCTCAGTAAAAAATAGATATAAATAATTACTATACTATAAATAGTTACATAACGAAACTAGATTCAATATGGAACATCCTTAGGTTTTATGTGCCAGCATGGATATGGTTGTCTATGGATATGGTTGTCTGCAATGCAGACAAACAGCTGCATCTTCATTTGCGTCTTTTGAAAACAGCAAGAGCAGCAGTTCGTCTTTGCTGCGTCACTGTTTTGTCATGTTTCTGTGCTGCTGTGCATGCAAAAGTACTTAGTATGAGAATTATTTAATGCAAAACTTTTTTTTTTTGCGTTTTATTTAGCCGCGCATAAATTTATGCCTTTCTCTCATTCCGTGTTGTTCAAAAAGCTTGGTCCACAAACAAAAGCGAAACCTATGCTTATTGGTTGTGATATAGCGAGTTTGAACCAATCTGGGCATGGAGGAGGGACAATGCATCAATGTATCATGTCTGATTTGTCCGGAGACACAGTGACGAGCGTTTCTTTGTCAAATCAGCGTTGTCAAATGTTGATGACGTAACCACACTGATTCCGGAGCCTCTGAAAGTCCGCAAATGTTATGTGATACAGCAATGGAAAGCTGAGATTCTCTTCTTTATGCCAATCTTTGAATTGTATGAATCGGATCAGCGGATCAAAAGTTATTAAGCATTTAAGAGCAATACTTATTTTTAGCCGCGGGCGGCTGTCTCGGTCTTTAAGGGTTAAAACCGTTGATATGCAATTGTTCATGGTATGATAATCGTGCACGTTCAAATCGTGGTAAACCGTCATACCGGTATATTGTTACAACCCTATTTGAAACTAATCTCGTCATCGCAGATTTCAGAGTTTGAATACAGGCTCCGACTGCATGCCTCCAGGCATTTCAGAATCCAGTTATTACTCAAGTCCTTAGGTAATTCACTTAATCTAGTACACTGTTTGCAAAGGCAAAACAGGCATAGGTCAGATTAGTTGGTCTATTGTAACTGGCCTCAATATTGTTTATTTTGGCTTAAGTCTGAGTGTTTTCACCCTTTTAAAGAAATACATTGCTTAACCTGATGAGGGACAGAGTTTTCAGCTGTTTGTTAGCACTTTACCACCATGCTCATTTTTTTATTCATGGTAAATTTAAAAGTATCTATACGATGTTTTAATGCCCAGTTTACACCAAATGCAAATTATGCAAAGTATTTATACATTTAGAGTAAATTAAATACCAATGTGCAAACACTTACATTTGCATTATATTTTGAACCAAATACATTTAAAAGTGCATTGTGAAAAAAATCCCACATTAAGAGCAAATGACTAGGTTTCATTAGCCTCTACTGGTGCAGGAAACATTCACACAGAAAACACTATTTATCTTTAAAAATGCAAGATGCAATGCTTCAAAGTGGCTTGAAAAAAGCACAGCATAGAGCTTGAGAGTATACGGACAGAGCCACTGAGATCCTGTAAACAGAAACTTGTATCAAACCCCATGATTCTGATTGGTCCACTGCTATGAAACTGACAGCAATGAGCTGCCTCTGAAAGTTGAAGATCTAAAACTTAACATGGCATCTAAAAACGCAGCACTCCGTGGATGCCTTGACTGCTTCTTCAAATACATGGAATATAAGTCTACGTGTCTTATTTAGGTTAAATTCGATGGAATGATAAACACATACATGCGCAATTTTCAGCTATTGAAACTGTGACAGTATTGATGACTACTTTTGTGATGATAATCAGACCTGAAGCCAAGCTCAACTTAACAAAAACATGGAGAAAACGCAAAGAAACAGTCAAGCCCGGGGGCGAGTCCTCCGTCGGCCAGTCTGAAAGGAACTTAATGTATCCTTGTTTCTTCTGTGCATAGATAAATATAATTTCATTTGCTTTTATCCATTTATATTACATCTATGTGTGTTAAAGTGTTTCTGCAGGTTTCAACACATCAAATTTAAGATCTTTTAAAGACCATTATCAATGAAATTTCAGACTTTTAGATATTTTCTAATGGTAAGTGGAAAAGATGTTTATTTTATCTGTACCAAATTTAGTTATTTCTTAACCACATGTTTTAAATAATGTCAAAACAAGCAAACTCTAGTTATATACTCCAGGTTTTAGGTGGGTTGTTGGTTGTAATGATCAGGTAGTTTACATGGACAAAGGAAATTAAACTCATTTAAAAGGATTTAAGACCTACAACACCATATTCCAGTGAATTTAAGACTTTAAGGTCTAAAATTTTGTTTTTGAAATTTAAGACATTAATATGCATTACCCCGTGAACAAACTGGTGTTATTTGTTATGGTGTTATGTTTCTTTCACACAAGTAAAAATAATAAACTTGAGCATAAATACTTTAAAGACTAAAAAACATCCCACAAATAATGTAAAGCAAAAGTGCACTTTGGTGTGAACTCATCATTAGAATCTATTTTTGATAACATTTCAAAACTGACTTCATAAAAAAAGAAAAAAAAAAAAAAAGTCCATGGAAAGTCAGTGTGCATGTTAGCGCCCTGTTACATTCTGAATGCACTGCATTGATTCACCATCATACCAGAACACAGTCCTGAATAAGGCTTTCATGGCTAATGTTTGTCCAGTGTGCATGCATGCAGCATTTAACTAGCCTCTAAAGCATGAGCATGTGCAACTCACGTACTTGACTAGATTCTGAAACGCATATCCATCCGTCCACTGCTCTGTAAATGAGGCTCCGTGTCGTACAGTGGTGAAATGACCAAGTCGTAGTCGGTCCTGCATGCTCTTTTCTCTGCAAGCAATTTTCTCCTGTTTGGACTGAGACACACACACTAGCACATTACTGAAGACATACCCCATAGACACTAAATGCAGTGCTTCAAATAATATAGCTGTGCATTTTTTTAAAAAATATCGAATTAAAGAATGCGGCATACATAAAGAACAATACTAAGCAAAATCTGTTTACCTTTTCGATAAGCAGTTTCTTACTCATGGTCACACATTTATTGAGGCGTTCTTTACACCACTCCAGCATCTTCTGCTGCTCATCGATCTGTCTGCGCAGGTCACAGTTCACCTGAAGTGCACAAACCCAAACATTGTATTCTTCAGCAAAGCACGAAATGGAAATTAATGAATTCAGCAAAGCATTATTAATGGAAAAATAATCAAAATTCAGAAACTATAATCGATCAAATTTTCCCAGGTTGATTTTATCGATTATTTTGCCTACTGTGTGTGGGGTCACGTGACCCCGCTTTGTTAAGGAAGGTCTAGCAAAGTCTTCGGGCGGTCGCATACCCACGCACCTCTTAAAAAATTTAACTGCAAGTTGCGAAGACGCGTGGTGCTAGCTCTGTGATTAGTCGGTTTGGTAGTGTTGACACACGTGGGTGGTGTGAAGAGCCTGTTGATGCGAGTGTTTACAAGTGTGGAGTCCCATGGAGGAGGTGTCTTGTGTTTACATTATGATTAAAGTTGTTGCACGTTCGCCTGTTCCCTCTGAACGAGCAAGTTTTAGCTTCTTGTACATTAAGGTAATGTTCAGAAAAAGCCAAACCCCGTGAAGAAACTCGACACAGATGAACATAAAAACCTGCTGCCACCCTAGCGTTTTGGAAGTGTTACAACAGAGCAAAACTATCTGCACGCTAAAGAATACCAATGCATGGCTACGTGCAAGGCAAGCGCCATGGATCATGCAAATCACTCAATGAAGATGTATAAATCAGCCTTTAAAGTCTAAGGCTGATTTATTCTTCTGCGACCACTTTGCAGCCACTTGATCTGCGGTCATGTAAGAGGATGGAGCCATTCTTGAATATTACTTTGCATTAAATTGACGATACGATTGTAAACTGCGCCAGAGATGCCTTGAGACATGTTTTCCATTACATTCAAATTAATATTTACATTAAAATATTTGTTTTAAAAAAGAAATGCACCGTTTAAAATATTATTTACAGGATATGCAAGAGTTATTTGATTTAGATGAGACACTGCTTATTTTCAGATCTTAATATGTAAAGGAATTGCACTTTTGGATACAAAAAAAAAGTCCTGCTATTTATTTTCACTTTTTAAAGGAAAAAAGTTACTTTTGGTTTAGGCGACTTGAGTTTTAATTTCAGTTGTACAACAATGTTCAATAAAAAATAAAAGAAATAATAATAATAAAAAAAGATAGATGGGTTTCCTTCAATTATTTTAAAATCAAGTATGCACTCTTTATTCAAAAATCTCTGACTTGTAATATGTGAGCTTACTGTATTTACAGTATAAAACTTGTAAGTGAAGCATGAAAGCAAAAAAATATATACATTTACAAAAATAAAATAATCGTTCATTAATAGCAATAGACTTGAAATGTTCAATTACTCAAGATTTCGATTTTAGGCCAAATCGCCCAGCCCTACTGAATCCTGATATACACCAGATTTCGTGCATTTCAAAGTGTCATTGATGGCTTTGAAAGCAGGTCAGTGTAACTCATAAGCAGGGCCAGACGGAATCTGCGGACGTTTTTTGCTATTTCTGCTGAGAATTTTGGTAAAAATCTGCGGATTTCTGCGGAATTATTTTAGGAGTATCCAGCGGAGAATCATAACTAAAACCTTACTATATTAAAAAAAAAGTAATAAATTACTGAATAAAAACTGAATAAATTCAGATTTACACATTTACTTAAGTAAATAAACAGAATTAATAATGGGCTAAAAATCTGCAGAAATCTGCGGAATTCTGCAGAAAATCTGTGTGGGCCTACTCATAAGTGCAAGTAGTATTATTTATGTTGTTATTTATGATACACATTTTTGCTCATTGAGTGAAGCATTAAACGTCTCATACAGCGATAACTTAAAACATTTTTAAATCACCAAAATAATTGATTAAACTAACAAGTACAGATCTGCGCAGGACTAAATTTTGAATCCTGCTCTCGCCAGGATTTAGCCCGAACCCAACCGCTCTCACTTATATTCAGCATTTGTTGTCCTGCTGCTCGACCCGCCCCGTTTTCTACTCGCCGTGCCCATTCCAGCTAACTAACGGGGGGAGATCAAAACCAAAAACCACCCAGTTATAGAATCAAGACAGCCTATAACAAGCTGTCTGTATAAACACACACAAATAAGCACAAGCAAGTGATACACACACACAGACAGCGTCACGCTCTCTCACACGCACGCACGCACAGAGAAACAGCACAAAGCTCTCTCTCTCACACACACACTCTCACACACACACGCGCACACACACACGCGCACACACACACGCGCACACACACACGCGCACACACACACGCGCACACACACACGCGCACACACACACGCGCACACACACACGCGCACACACACACACACACACACACACACACACACATACATACATACATACATACATACATACATACATACATACATACATACATACATACATACATACATACATACATACATACATACATACACACCAACAGCTAAACGCAGCATCCCGCTGTCTCATTCACACACATACATACGCGTCTTCACTCGCTCAGGAGTCTAGAGCGATATTTTTAGACCACCCGCTACCGTCCAAAATTAAACCAGTTACCAGCTGCTCCCACGTTTTATGCGGAAATTTATTCCCGCGCTGCAAGAAACCTGGTCGGGTCCCTCGGCAGACCTCTACTAACAAGTCCTCCTCGTAAAACAATTATGATTGCACTGCAAATCCACACAAAGCATGCTGGGAACTACAAATCCACTACCTAGTTAGATTTGCAAATGAAAATGTATTATTCAGTTGTTCCAACAAAATATTACTAAGGTAACAGTTTTTTGTAAAAATTCAAGTGAACTAAACATAATACATATAAATTATCAATAAATCAAATTAATAATAATAATAATAATTATTATTATTATTATTAACCGTTGTTTCAGATTATTTTAAACAAGCAATAAAAACATTTTTTGGAGTACTACATTTAGGAAAAAAATATGTCTCTTATTTTAACTATGACGAATTCAATCATAAAAAAAAAAAATTGATTCAGCCAAACAATCAAGCAAAAGTAATGATTCCTTCCAGACAGTCAAGCAGGTCGCACACCAGAATCGCCAGAGTCGTGGCTGGGCGGCGCCGGTGTGTGTATAGAACCTGTTTAGAACCTAAAATCCATGCCGCTGTGTGGTGCTGCACGGCAAATTAAGAATTTAGCATTCACATTTACAATTACTTTATGCAGACTTGTCATAAATCACACACACATATATACATTTTTTTTGTTTGTTCTTTTGTTAATATAAAATGTATATAATAAAAAGATGTCAAAAAGGAAAACAAGGTTCTGTACTAAAACTAACTAATAAATCCTGAATCCACTTCACCAAAAAACGAAAATAAAATGATCTGTTATAACAATTTATTATTTTATTAAATAATATAATTGAATAAAAATAATATTAAATTTCATAATTGTAACTTGAAAAATACTGATTGAATTACTGATTAAAACTACATTTTAAGAGGTAATTACAGAGTCTAAGAGGCATTAGACCATCCCTACCATGTCATTAAAGCAGCGCTATTGCAATTAGCAAGAAATTGTATATTTAGTAATATCCTGCCAGCATGTTATTTGAGTGAACTTCACTTTTCCGATGAGCATGTACTGATCATGTGTTTATTTATATATGGGACCATGAAGTAAATATCAACAGAACTAAATATTTGGTCAATACAGCTATAAAACGACCTTTGCAGTGTGTAGTTAAATGGGTTTCATAGCGCATCGCTTTCTGTGCGCAGAGTAAAAAAAAACACACAATGACTGTGGCTGGAGGGAAAGTGAAACTAGTATACTCAACAATGTGGAGCAGCATAACACATTTTCAGCTGATAACTGTTACCGACTCAAAAATTCAGTGCATCCCTAATAACGAGAAACATTAAAATAATTAAAAATAAGCTACTTCATTTTTTAAACATATGAGCAATTCCAAATGACGGCTATAGAACAAAAAATGTTTTTCCTTTTTCAGTATAGTTTCACTATTTTTATATTAACCTTTTTTTTTTTTAAATGGAAAGGTTGACATTTGCATTGAATTACTCATATATGATACAATTTTATCCTGTCACACAAAGCTGAATAATCAGCAGCATTACTCTTAATACGAGTTAAACATCCTAAAATGATTTGCTGTTTGAACATGAAGCAATGAGAAACAATCAACATAAACTTTCAGACAATAGGCTAAATTGAAGTCATACCCTGAGCAGGTCATCGATACGTCCTTCTTTCTTCTCCAGATCTGAACTCTTACTGCTCTCCAGCGCTGCTAATTTCTCCATAGTCAGCTCAGACTGAGGAAACAGTAACCGAAGGTGAGTGTTAAGTGTGAGAAAGTGAAAGCATCTGTGTGTTGCGAGTGCTTTTGGTAGTGTGTGTTACCTGTGAAGCTCGGTGCTGAGTGTGTATTGAGGCTGGCTTGTGGGAGGTGGAGGTGTGGGAGTGGTCTGTGTTTACTGAACTGATGGAGGAGGGGCTTCCTTGCTGCACCTGTCAATCAAAACCAAAACAAACATTTCTATTTACCATCAACAAAACAGTAAGTGTCACTGATAAGAGCCTCATTGTGCACTTCTGTCAGTTTTCTGTACTTCAAATCAGTCTGCTTCTTATGTTTGTTCTTCTTCTTCTTATTATTATTATTATTAATATATTAAAGTAGCTATTGTCATTATGTGAGTACAAAATATAAATCTACGATTATATTGTCAGTACTAAACTACTTAAACTAGAGTAAGAAGAGGTTATTGGCCTCTGTTTAAAGGCATCAACTTCAATATATAATCTAATACAATCTACATGTGTCCCGATGTACTGTTTTTTTCTTACCAACTCTCATCACCATAAACGAATTACTCTTAGCAAGTGCAATGTTTGGTTCCACTTGGAATGTTTACTTTTAAAACTGTAACACTTTTGGTACAAAGGAACAACAAACAAAGTGTTACTAAGAGAGCTGATCGATTTACTTAACAGAACTGGTTTCAATTAACCGAATTAACGAAAACTTTTATTTACTTCAGATAAATGAAGCACATCTGTGTTTATCATAGATGAAGCTCAAATACGCACAAGTAACCAATGAGGTATGATTTAGCATATGATGCGCAATATACTGCAGGCCATATCGGCATTAAATTATATTTCTTTACATTTTCAAAGCTTTCATAAACAGCCTGAAAAGAAAAAAAAGTCTAGGTCAATAATTTACTTTTTTGTTCTCCCAGTTGATCCACTTCATATGTGTGCAGTTGGCCATGAAAGTTTTGATTGGTGCTTTCCACATAAAGCAAGTCTGTGTTAAAACAGCTTTTCAGTGAGACAAAGAAATAAAACAAAACAACTACAATCTGTAAATTATTATGAAAAAAGAAAGATCTAGAGATATTTGTGCAGTTACCTTGCTTTTTACAGTTAAGATTTTGAAACACAATCAGTTTTACACTGTATTAGTTTGCAATGGGTATGTACGAGCGTTATTTAAGTTGCTGTTTATAAGGCTTGAAAAGAAAGTCTGTCTAGCAGTGTTTAGTTCCATATTAAAGGCATATTAAAGGCATATAATTAAAAAGTCTAATAATTTGTCTGTTTTTTGGGTTTTTTTATTTATTTATTATTTGTAGCTGTTTACTAAACCAGTGGTTCTAACTGGATTTGCATTTTAAATCTATTTTTTTTTATTTCCTCACTTTTTAGCTCCTGTACTTTCAAAATCATTTAGCACAATTCACCCATCTATCAATCAATCCATCCATCTACCCAATCAAGCTATCAATCAATCCATCTATCCAATCAAGCTATCAATCAATCCATCTATCCAATCCATCCAATCAAACCTTTCAACCAATCAACCCATGAATCAATCAATCCATCCAATCTATTCCATCAATCCTTCCAACCATCCCATCAATACATCCACCCATCAATCCATCCATTCATCCAATCCATTCAATCCATCCATCCATCCATCCATCCATCCATCCAATCAATCCACTAATCTATTCCATCCATCCCTCCATCCAATCAATCCTTCCACCTATCCCATCAATACATCCATCCATCCAAACTATTCCATCTATCCAATCAATCCTTCCATCCATCCAATCCATCAATGAATCATACAATCCATCCAATTTAATACATTAATCCATCCATCCATCCAATCAATTCAATTCACCCATCCAATCAATCCATCATCCACCCATCTATTCCATCTATCCATTCAATCAATCAATCAATCAATCAATCAATCAATCTTTCTAACCATCCCGTCAAATCCATTCATCCATCCATCCATTTATTCGCCTATTTCATCCATCAATCCTTTCATTCATCCCATTAATCAATCCAATCAATCCATTCAATCCAATCCAATCCAATCCAATCCAATCAAATCCATGAATGAATTTATCCATCCACCAACATTTTTTGCAAGAATAGCAAAAAAATAAATAAAATAAAAAAACCTGCTTGGCCCTGCTTATAAGTTTTAAATATGTGAAAGGTTTCCATTTCTTCATTAAACAACCAAGTTTCATTACAAATATCTGCAATGACATGATAACGACATCATAAAAGTAATGAATGTCAGTAAGAGAGACAGAGACTCACGGCAGCAGGAGGATTAGATAGAGAGTGCTGAGGAGAGGAGCGCGCCACTGGAGGAATGCCACGAGCTGGACTGGTACCTGTACCACTACCGCCTGCAAACTACACAAAAACAAACCATTCACCGATTTAATTAGATTACAATGACCACCATTAAAAAGATCACAAGATGGCCAGTAATGATTGAATGCATAAGCTACATGGCACCTACCTCAAAATAATCACTAATTTTGTGTCCTCTTCCTCCTCCTTTGCCTAGTGGTGAAAAAAATAAAAATAAAATAAAAAAATCAGTCACTATGAGAAATGATAACCAGCGTAGTCCATATTGTCAGCAGTGATGCTTACCCTGGCTGTCAAAGGGGTCTCCTTTCCTTTTACGTGTCCTCTGGTCATTAGATTTCTTCTCTGGGGTCTGGCCAGGAAAAGAGACGAGAGAGAGAGAGAGAGAGAGAGAGAGAGAGAGAGAGAGAGAGAGAGAGAAAGAGAGACAGAGAGAGATAGAGGGAGGGAGAGAGACTTTTTACAAGCTGCAAAACAAACGCAAGAATCCATGACATCACCTCATTCCACAACCCCATTCATTCTAGAAATTTCCATTGAAATGTTAGAGGCAGCGAGCTCTTATAACCTGAAAGACTGGACATCAACATGCAGAGACAACAATCTCCATGTCTGCCTGTTTTCACATAAACGGATTTCATTTTACTTTACAATATCTAGTAATTCTTTTTAATAAAGCATTTTGTTTGATTATTTTTTCATTTAATCACTTATAAATATGCAAACAAAATGGATATAAAATGCAAAGATTAATGTCAATTCAATCAGAGCATGGGAGTCTGCACAACAATTAAGCCACAGGTGTCAAACTCAGTTCAAAAAGGGCCGCAGCTCTGCACAGTTTAGTTCCAACCCTAATTAAACACACCTGATCAAACTAATTGAGTCCTTCAGGCTTGTTTAAAACCTACAGGTAAGTGTGTTGGAGCAGGGTTGGAACTAAACTGTGCAGGGCTGCAGCCCTCCAGGAATTGAGTTTGACACCCCTGAATTAAGCTAATAACATAGTCAATAACACAGAGGATAAACATGTTCTGAAACAAACAACGCAGCTGATGAATGATAAAACTCATTGACAACCAATCAGAATACACCCAAATTTAAACATTTAGATATTTAAAGTGACAGAAAACATAACAGCAGTGAGCACTTTTAATAAACATTATTGTCTACAAAAGGTGTTGCTAGCATAATATATTCATTTTGTTCTTACAAAAGATTACAGATATCTTGTGTTTTAGTTCTTATATTTGTTGTAAACAGACCTTCAGTCTAGCTTACCCTCTTGTTTTGTCCACTTTAGAGATTAGTCGGTTTTTGTGAGTTTATAAAGTATAGAAAATTTAAAAAAAAAATGATATACAGTAGTCAAAGTTTGTAGTGGATGAAAAAGGTCACAATTGTCCAAAGACATAAGTGGCTGATGTTGAATAGTTTCAGGACAACTTTGATGAAAGATTTGATTGCACTTCAAATGTTGACTACTGTATAAGGTAGGGCTGGGTGAGAAATTAATATCTATATTTATTGACCATACACCAATGTCAATAAATTCATGATTAAAAAAAAAAGAATTCGATGTGAAGTTTCAATATGAAGCGCTATAGTTTTATTAAAATAAGGCTGCTAAACGACATGCACATGGTGTGTAAGTGGTACGCACGTAGACCTTAAGACCTTTTTAACACCATTTCAAATTAAATTCAATGCCAGCTTCGTACCCATTCTAACAGAAGTATGAGGGGAAAATGTCAAATTTCTATACATTTTGAACCCTCGAAAATAATCATGCACAAGAGGGCTACTTGAATTAAATAAAAAACATTTTCTTTAAACTATCAGTTACGTTTAACACATACGCAACAGTGTGGTCGTCCACGTAGTAGCAAATATGAAGGTCTAACTGCTTACTTTTCTTCATCCTACTGAGAGTCTTGTCAAACATGACCACAAACCCGTTGGCCTTATTGACCTGGTCAGTCAGTGTTTTAGTTATAAAAGGAGCCAATCCAAATTTAGTAATATATGCAGTTTTGTTGCTTCCACATGAGAATGTAGGTGCAACCATAGGAAACATGGTTTTGAAAACCTCTGTAATGTTTTCATTCAATGTGTAAGAGTGGTGCTCACAGATTGTTTTAAGGACCCACATCATCTCTGCCCACAAAGTAGGTGTTGAGTAGAACTGCAACTAACGATTATTTTAATAATCGATTAATCTGTTGATTATTATTTTTTAAACCCTTTTACCGGTAAGTTTAAAATATTCTATCTGGCCCGGGAGTCCATTTTTTCTAGAACATTCATCCTTACCGTGGCGATGCATCATGTTTGTTATGTGACACTCCACAGCCACAACAGCGATGTATGATAGATGTATCCCTTTTATTTAGTTTTTTTTTCTGTTTTAATTCAACATATTTACACGCTTGCTCTTCATGTCAGCAACCACCTGATACTCCAATTCACATAAACGTGTAAGTGATCGTGATCTATAAAGTGATATGGAAACCACATTGTCACACTTCAGGTCAGAATGACAACACATGCGAAAAAGTGATAGTAAATAAACATGGATGTCTCCAGAGTGGCTTTTTGTTTTCTTTTCTTGTGCAACCCAGCCACTAGCACCCCATCTGAAAGAGTTTTTAGCATAGAGATAATTGTCATTCAACTTCACAATTTGTAATGTTGCAATATGCATTTAAAGGGCCATGAAACCCCCTCGTTTCAGCAGGGTGTTTTCACACCTCTACTTTGGAAAAAGTCAGAAAAGTGGGCGTGTCCAGCTCTGTTTAGGGGGGAGTGTCGGAGGAAGAAAAGAGGCTTGGTGTGGGAGTGTCTATTTGGGCGCGCTGAATTTCAGAGTCAAAACACACACCCACAGAGGACAAAGTGACTGTGTTTACATGGACATCTTTAGTCGAATTATTTGCCAAATTATTAAATGGTGGACTTTAACTGCAGTTTGGCTCTTTCATTCAGGGAATTCATTCATGTCCCTCGCGACAAACGAGATATTTGATTCAAGGAACTGCTCTAAGCGTGTATTTTTATGCAACGTTTGATACCGCATGGCGAATGAGAGAAAAAAAACTCAGCATTTTCCGGAAACTTAGATGCACGCGGCAGGTAGCGTCAGAAAGCCGCGTGTGTTATTCCGGTCACAAAATCCTACACAAGGTTATAGTTTGGTTGTAGTGCTAACTTGTTTACACTCGGTGCAATAGTGTTCGATACGAATAAAATACGAACTGAATAAACAAAGAGCACTGGTTGCTCACTTACCAAATCTGTAGAGACAGGACAATCACCAGCAACTAGAGCCGCGTCTTTATTAGGAGAAGACTACAAGCGAATCTGGATCTCAGCGTTTGCAGATGAGAACAGCTCTCAGGTAAACAATGTGCCTCCTTAGACACGTAAGTTATTGTTGTTGAGCGTCGCGTACACTGTTAATCTACGCGTTAACAAAACTTAACGGCAGCAAACTATAAAAGCAACACTTCACGCTTGTTTTGCCAACACAACGTGGCGTCTCTGTCGTCTAAACACTATGACAGTAATGAATATTAATGAAGTTGCACAATAGAGCGCGCTGATTGGTTTGAACCAAGCTTTACTCATGCATTAATGCAGCAGGCTGTAAGACGTAATAAGACACACTCTGGCACAGACGTCCAGTCTGCACGCTGGAATACATGCCATTATGTCATGACCGTGACGCAGCTTCAAAAATTCGTTTCAAACCGGAAGTACGAATTTGCTTAAAATAACGCAAAAACAACCAATTTACACTTTTTAGTGAAATATAGGTGTCCTAATAGTGTTTTTAGCAGTGTGGGACACATATACGACTGTCAACAGCTCAAAAAATGTGTTTTGGTGTTTCGTGACCCTTTAAATAATGATGGTTTGTTCCTTTACTTGAAAGCTCAGATTGGATTTTCATAAGTAGTGTTGTTTACTGTATCCTTATTATTCACAACACTGAATAATACACTGAGTCTCTTCAACACTGTTTATTCATTTTTTTTTTATTTATTGTTTTTGTCTATTAAATATTTGCCTTACAAATGTTGATACATTAAAAGTGGTTAAATGAAAAAGAAATAAAATCCTTATATTCCTAAATGGATTGTTAAAAATATTTTAAAATTATCAATATCGAATGATTTGTTTTGATATGAATTGATATGTGTTGTGATAATTTTTTGCAATATCGCCCAGCCCTAGTATTACGTATAAGTTTTATAATATAAGTTATAAACACTGTGGTTATTTTGTTTTGTCCACCAGAATGCATTTATCAGACGAGGTCATTTTATCTAAAATTCACAAATAACCTTTGAATAAATGCAAAACAAAATTCAAGTATACCAGATGTGTGTATTACTGACAAAACCCAGATGCCAAGTATTAAAGTAGTAAATTCAGAAGTCGAAAAAGAAAAGGAACAGTCTTTCCAGCCAGACACCCCAGGTGATATCACCAAGTGGAATAAATAGAACATGCCGCCAACTACAACATTTGAACACCTCGCTAGACCTCCTTGGCTGTCAACATGAAACACGTTAGCTGAAAACTGCACCAGGACTCAAAACAGAGATACTTCAGAGACGCCATGACAGTTTCACGTCATGAGCTTCAAACATGTACTAACCTCCAATTCTTTGTCACTGAGAGAGCCCACACTACACAAGCTCTGGTTGGAGGACTCGTTGTGTCCAGATCCCTGTAGAGAAGAAGACAACAGATAAGTGGATTTGCATTTCCTAAAGGAGCATCATTGCTTGAAGGCAGAGGAAAACAGTGATTAGTTCTGAGAAAATGAAACGGATAAAAGATGGTTTTGTTGTACTGGTCGAATTGTATATTAAAAAAAAAATTAATTTAAAAAAAGTGTAAGAGAATTAAGGGAGAGGGTGTTGTCCTGTAGCTACACATACTCAGTGATCACAAAATAGTCTAAATGCATTTTATTTGAGAAAATACTTTTTTTAAATAACCACCAACCATTAACAATCTTCAGCATGTCATTTTAAAGAAAAGTATTAAATTAAAAGGGACAATTAATTAACAATGCAAGTCTTTGACTACCAGAAACTGTTTTATTGATATAAATTTACCTTTTTATTTACAACTGAGAGCTTACAATTTACAAACCGTTTATTTTTTTGTCAAGAATGACAATTCTTTCTATCACCCTGCAATGAAATTTGACACCCAGTCAAATGTGAGAGAGACCATTCTGATAATACCAAAGCAACTACAAGAACATCAACGAAAGAAGCTATGTGGCAAGGAATTGCAAAGAAATTAGACTAGATGGCAAGTATTTATTTATTTATAATAATTACAATTATTTATTACACTCATAAGCACAAATAGTTTGTTTCTTGTGTAAAACCGAAGTTTGTATTTTTTACGGTTGTTTATTGTGCAGCGAACGAGGTAAAAGCCAAACAGAAAAAGTAATGAAATACAATAAAACACAAACAAGTAAAATCATGGTGAGTGTCAGTGATCAGGGCTCTTAAAAAGTGCATTATTGTGTACAGAACCACATCATTTGTTGGCATGAATTTGCCATAAGCAAGCAACTGTTTTATGTTCAGTGTGAATGGACAGTTCGTCTGTAATTCGCCTTGCTTTATTTCATTGTGCTCAGGATAAGAAAGCCTTAATGGTTGGTGTGATATCCTGCCCAAGCCATCAAGATGAAGTTAAATACTGAATACCATCCTTGAGCACTTCAGATTTGATTCAAGCTTACAAAGGCAAGCTATTATCTCCCATGATTTAACTTGGATAGATTAACTGTTCTGAATCGGAGCAGTCAAACTGAACTGTAAGTGAGCTATTCCAGCGTTATGCATGTGACATTTGCAGTAAAATCTCAAAACATAAATACATAGAGAAAGTAAATGGTAAAATTAGATAGAAACATCTGTTTGTATTTTCCAAAACAATATATTTTTTGCATTCATGAGGAAAAGACTTCATTGTGGATGTGACATCTCTCCGTTATGGTGTGACGGATGTGACATTGGCACATGTGTGATTTTGGTAAATCAAATATAATTGTTACAACATATAACACTTATTAAAGGCTCAATAGAATGGTTCAGGATGAGACTAAACACATTGCTAATTAATTTTGAGCAACACCAGTCATCTTTTATTAAAGCTGCAACTTTAATTCATAACACGAAATCAAAACTTTGTTTGGGTTCAGTTTAAATTGACATTAGGATTCAATTTTCAGTAGAGCAGTCAATTGTGCATCACTAAATGGGACACCAACTAAACTTGGCAGTTAGATCTTTTTGTCCTGACTAAAGGTAATAAGGTAATAATAACACACATGAGCTTTTGTGGAAAAAAATAAATTATAAAACATCAGTTTGGATGAGACAGCCAGGCAAAGCATAAGGAAAAATCCACTTAACATGCAACTTAATTAGGGATGCACTGATACCATTTTTTTTTGGAACCCGATACCAAAATTCTGAACATCAACTGATACAGATTCAATCCCGATACTGTGCCTTTTTTTTTTTTTTTTTTTTTTACATTATACAGTTTCTATAGTCCTGGCGATAAACTCAAATAATAGATCACCTTTAGTAAAACTAATAAACCTAATAAATTATGCTACATTATTCGAGCATTTGTTATGACATTGATATGATCTGTTGTGGTCCAGCTTATGTTTCATTTGTTAATATTAACATTTTTCTTTGAAATCTGTAATAGGCAACCACTACTGACACTAATCACTGGTAAAATACCCAACCTTTAAGCAAAGCCTGATATTGTCCAGGTTTGATGCAGACTAAACTGTCTGGGGCCAGATTTTCTTTCCCTTGCCTAAATTCGCTGTAAAAAAAAAAAAGGTCCACTTATATGCTTCAGTGACAAAACACAAACTGGTTTGTTAAATAAAATATTATTATAAATAAAATTACAGTGAAATATTCACAGTTTCAGAGTAGCCTATATTAGGCTAAATTATTTTCTTTTATTGACAATCCATACTGCGCCCGTCAGTTTACTTTTATTAATTTAATCAACTACTTTGACCATAATAAGCCAAGTTTTACAAACTATTCACAGCACTGAAAGTATTCCCCTCGGAAAATAATAAACTCAGTCGAAGGGATGAGAAAATAGAAAGCCATTGTGAGAATAATTTTTGCACAGCCAATGTGTGAATAAAGCGATTGATGCATCACTGAGACACAGCGCACAGTTCTCTGGTACCTGGAGACATTTCCAAAACGGCAGCAAAAAGGGAAGATAGTGCGTTAAGGATCAGTCCAATGTCTTATTGAGCCTTTTCTAATTGATAATTTCAAGTAGGGCTACTTTGTGTGTGAAGAGCATGTAATAACCCTCTTCAAAACTCCAGTGTTGTGAATGCGATCTGCTGATCTAACATACACAACGCAACATGATTTTAAAACAGCAGTGAACTTCTTGTTGCAGGTTAAAATGAAGCCATTTAATGCAAAACTAAATGCATTTCTCCACCGATTACGTATCTTAACAGGAACAAATAGTCTTGCATTAAGTTTTCGTGTTGTCATATATGAACGCAGTTTGAACTGTGAATGCATGGAAAATGATTGAGAGGCACAGCAGAGGGAAGTGCTGAATTGGACATGAATTTAACCACTTGAATATTCATCTGTGCTTTACATTAAACTATAGAATGGCTTCAGAACATTTGGGATACAGTAGGCCTACATGACAACTTTTGTTGGCTTATAAATTACACAGAATATAGTGCACCCGCAAGATTGGATTTGGATCGGTACCATTTGGCCGATACCCGATCCAGCAAAAATATGCGGTATAGAACCGATATCTGATCCAAGTATCGGGATGGGTGCATCCCTAAAAACTTAATGCATGAAAGCAGACATGCCCTGGCAAACACATGAATAAGCAAAGAAAAGAGAGTGATGGATGAGAACTATTGTGAGGGGGAAATTGTGTGGAATAACAGACTAACATCAACAAGCAGGGATGGGAGCTGTTAATATCGGTTTGAGACTGGACAAACCTTGGCAACTCCGACTCCTGTGAAACGGGCCTCCAGCAGCTCTTGCCTTCGAGGATCCAAGCTGTGCAATTCCTCCATCATGGCTGAGAAGAGAGGAAGAGAGTGTGCATAGCATTATGTAGCCATAGTGATACTGACAGATTGACGGGACAGTAATGTGTGTGACATGTTGAGTCATGTGTCCCCAATACATGTTTTTTTCGAGAGCATTCTGACATTCATGACTCAGCCTCCTTACCAGCACTCATTCAGTCATTAACTCACTCCCACCTAAAAAAACACATCTTATAGACATTATACAGTGAGAGAAAACCAGTGTGACCGTGCATTATTTTCAGACTGATCGATTCATGTCAAATCAACACGTGACCTGCAGTTCATTTAACAAAGAAACATTGATTTTCAATCTATTAGACTTGTTTGCAGGCTAAAAACAAACGCTATCAATGCAAAATCAGCACACTCAAGCAGTGATTATTATCTTAAAGGGTGGCTGATGGGAAAAAAACATAAATAGTCAATAAAACCCGAACAACTCTAACGTTATATACTTCCCAACAATAGCCAAACCTCTCCAACGTTACTAGAGGCCACCATCGATTTATATTTCAACCAAATCTCAACCGTTGCATGTCCGACATGATTTAAACAATTAATTTAACATGATTCACAGGAAATTTTAATCTTGTTTCAGCGTGTTATTTCGATATTACATAATAAATTGCCATGGTTAACGAGTTATCATTCTAGCTCAATCGTTTGATGTTAAACGTTTCATTCAAATAAGCCACAACTTCAAGACAATACGAATAAAATAACATCTTAAGAGGCAAGAATGGATCCACAAAACATCCAAACAAACTTAACTGTTTCTAAATACCGTCTGAGTATCTTTTTTACCCCCGAGTTATGCTTCTATTGTCCGTTGTTTCTATACATCCATGCAATTTCTCCTGCTAGCCTCCTTAAACTTGCACATTTGTCTTTGTACCTGTATTGATGGAGTCTTTTCTCCCGCTTTCCGTTTTATTGGATGTCTTTTCTTCGACCGTTCTCCTCCTCGGGTCTCCCGTCTCGCCCTTTCCGTCTCAGCCAGACATCTCAGCGCTAGGCCACAGCCAAATCCCCGACCCTCGCCAGCGCTTGGTGACTGCTGTGTCGCTGGGGGACGCCAGCTCCGCGCCCTACTGTAGTCCGAGGACTGAAGGACCTCCGAGGCCTTGATATCCCGAACCCGCCTTTCTCCGCTGGCCTTTTTCCGATATCTATTTTCTACTAGATGTGAAGCATGCGGTATCGCTATGTAGATCCACGCTTAATAAATCCCTGCCCAAAACCACGCGATTCGCTTTGAAATTAGTTGTTAGCGGCGAGGCTATGAGATATTTTGTCCCTTGTTTGTCTTCGCTGCTCCGGGTCAGCACCGAACCTGGATCACGCGTCCTGAAATGATAAATCGGCTCTTTAAATACCGTTCCACCCTGATATGTCCTTTTAGAGAGCTTAGACGACACAGACGAAAAGAATCCCTTTTCCAATCAGATTGGCGAAATCAGAATCGATTCGGTTCGGTTCTCAATTTTTTGCAATGTAAACAATAATCGGTAAATCTCATATTTTCTCGTGAGATTGTGCAAGGCATTTCTACCTTTCAACCACGCCCATTTCCACAGGCAAACACTTATCAATGAAAAGAGAATCAATGAATGATGTGCTGTGTAGTGTTATTATGAGCCTTTAAGCAGTGCACGTGCAGCATTATTAAAGACATACTGTCGGTTTAAGTGAGGAAAAGTTTTGCACAGCTTTTAGAGTCAAGAAGTTTAAAATGCTACAAATAATAATAATAATAATACATTAAAATAATACTCAGAATTGTTCAATATATTAATCATTTGCAATGGCTATAGACATTCAACTTATAACATCATAAATAAATGTATCATTTTATTTGGAAAAATAAACTTCATTATTTGAATAAAAAAACACTTTGTAATCCATTTAATCAAGGTGGGCTAAATGTACTTGATTTTGAAAATCGTGTTAAGATATTTCAAAGTCAAGTGGATACAAAATTATATTCGCTCAAAAAAGAAACCATTGTATTACATCCCTAATATTATTTTTGACAAAGTAAGTGGCATTGAATTTCTTCTTAATTACAATTTATTTTAATATTAGTAAGCTTTCCATAAAACTTTCTAATTTTCACAGGCATTGTTATCATGGATGATTATATACAACAGATTATATTTAGGAATTAAAGAGTGAAATTCAATACTTCAAGACATTTTGAAGACTCTTTCCATACATTTTAAGACCGTATAACCACTTTTCAACCAGAAGCACTGGCGAGATTTTAACTTACAGTATTTACTAAATATAATGTCAGAAACTCAAAAACTAAAACATTATTCATAGACTGAATAAAAATGGATTAAATCTACCAAATTCAGCAGGTTGGTGCCTATAGAACTGCAGAAATAATGGTGTTGACTTGGTTACTGCAGTAAACAAAGCAGCATAACGTCAAATCTAGCAGGATTTCATTGATTTCAACACAGCATCCTAATATTCGCAGATTTATTTAGGCAAACCTTAGCATACAACCATACATTTCATAATCCAAAATGATATAAAATTTCTTACCTTGCAAAATAGCAATTAAGACTTTTTAAAAACTTTAAGGGCCTTAAATTTCTCTATATTGAGTTATCAACTTTTAATACTTTTTAAGACTCCACAGACATCCTGTACAAACAATTCTCACCATCACAAATGCTTAATTTGGAATAATAGATGAATTACACACCAAGAACATCTCTTTTTTTAATTAATTGGTTTTAAAATAATATTATGCTAATTTCACAACTTTTAAATAGTAATAGTCATGCGTTTACCTATTTAGAGTTTCTAGAAAATTTCCCCTTTATATACCTGTCGAAGAGTTTATGATAGCAATTTATGGTATTCCCTCAGAGCTTAAGAAATTATTAGAAAATGATATAGTTCAAAATATTAATCTTGAATTGTAAAGTATAAATATAAAAGAAAGAAACTGTAATAATAATGATCTTGGAATGATTTGCCAGATTGTCAGTGTTCCTTCAGCCATTGGAGTTTGGAGATCACAATTTTAAGATGTGAACTGGAACAAGACTTTTAAACTTTTAATTGCAAAATTGTGCTTTCTGTAACGATAAAGAAGAAAGTACTGTTCATTTATTTTATGATTGTATTTATACATGACTGTTTTGCTATGATCCTTTTTGTTAAGCAGAGTATGAATATTGCATTGGAATTTAAATAATTAATGTTTTTTTTTTTATGAGAACACAGTTGACTTTAAAATTTGGTGTGTGTATATATATATATATATATATATATATATATATATATATATATATATATATATATATATATATATATATATATATGGAAACATTTTTATTCATAAATGTAAATGGGCAGTAAAAAAAAAACTAATTTTACTCACTTTAAAATATAGGTCATTACCAATGTGCGACAAAACAAAGGAAAAAATACCAGAGCAAAAAGAACTGTTAATTATCTTAAAGCCTTAAATTTAGATTTTAATAATTGTAATTTCTTTTCTTTTTATATTGTTTTTATTTTGATGTCAATATAATGTTATTTAATTGCAATTAAAAAAAATCATTTAGAGGAAACAAAGGTGTTATCACACATGTATCATTGGCACAAAGCTATGATATATGATTTTAAAAATTATTAATATTGTTGTAGTTATAAACAAACTAATCTTGTTGTTGCAGTGGTCTAATTTTATCTTTTGGACAAATCTTCCTTTTTGAATTTTGTTGCAGTCATGTTCATTCTTGGTAAATAAATTAATAAAACACTGTTTTGTATTTATGACTGATTATTTGAATTACAGCACTGTTCAAATGTATAACAACTCTACACAATATTTATGTAGAGATACATATTAAACATTATAAGCTCAAGAAAATACAGAAAAAACATATTTTTGAACTTCTTAAATTTCTGTAATTTTACACTTATTATTTTTTGTTTTTTTTCGGCAGCTGGGATGCCCAAAAAAGGTCAAATAACAGTTGTAAAATTACGGTAAATATCTGTAATTTAATGGCTGTTATTTAACTTTTTTTTGAACCCTCAGATTTTAGATTTTTAAAATTTGGCCAAATATTGTCCTATGAAAACAAGAAAAAACTTAAATGGAAAGCTTCTTTCAGTTTTTAAATGAGACATGAATAAAAACGTCAAAATATTGACACTTACGACTGGTTTAGTGGTAATTAAAAGTAAACTGAAGTCATGTAAATGAACAAATTGCTAACCATCGAAATATTTTAAATCAGAGCACTAATGTAAAAGCATAAACTTACGTCTACAATATTTTGCAGTTACTTAATATTGTACCAATTCCCATGACCGAGGTTAGAAAATCCCCGAAATGTATTTAAATATTCTCTATAAATATGGAGAAAAAAAAAACAATATTAATAAAAACATTTATGATTGAACGCAAATTTATAGTTTTGTAGTTATTAGTCTATGTCTCATGTTTGTACCTGCTGATTGGTAAAAACAAACAATGAAAAAGCCGATAGTCAGAAAGGGAATTTGCCTTCATTTCATCTGGTTTATTCCTACTAAAAAATTGTCCTTAAAAAAACATCACTCAATGTGATGGACAAACAGTTTAAAGCCCTCAGGTGCATCATGGGAACTCTTGTCCTCTTATTCCCAAGCAGGATACATCAGATACCACTTTGAGCAAACATAAGCACCGTAACCTTGAAGCTCCTGCAGTCTGTCCATCATCTGTAAAACTACGTCACAGATTTGTCATGGTACAGCAATCCAGATGTTCTCCTTCTCTCCAAACAAGCGGTTTTGATGTTAAGTGGGTGCCAGGACCTTGCGATACTTGCACTGAACCCAGACTCTGTACATTGTAAGCTGCTTTCCTCTGTTCACCTGCAATCGTCGATCCACCAAATTCTGCAGCTTCTCCAGACCCGCACTGGAGAACAGATCATGCAGCTCATCTAAAGGGAAAACCACATAGGTAAGAAATAAATAGATACATCTATAAAAGTGTTATCTCTTTTTATTATATTCAGGTCTGCAACCAAAGCTTGTTTATGAAATAGTGGTTTTCTTGTTTCTTAAGAAAAGGCAAGTCTGAACATGCATTTACCTTGTGTGAAAAAGTAGACGCGGGTTCCATCACCTCGAACATAGAAGTTTTCAGACAAGCACCTCCCTGATTGAGCAAAAACAGGCAGCTTATCATCACATACGCATTAAATTCTGTCATGATAGATACAGATTGAAAAGTCAATCAATAGCAGCAATAAATTCAAGTAATAAATAATTACAAAACAGTTTTGTACTAAAGATGAAAAATCATTTTCAAGCATCAAAATACTAAAAATTTACTACAGCTTCATTTTTTTTCAGAAAAATAGCAAGGTACACGTTTACCTTGATTTACAAAAGACAACACAAATTTTAAAAAGTAAGTTTGTATAGCATTTAATAGCATTTAGAATAATTACTTGATTATATAATATTATAAATGTATAATAATGTTTTAGAATTCTTTTAGATACATTAATTAGTAAAGTTTAGAATATCCATGTTGCTTCTTGTCTACACTATAAAATAAAGGTACAAGAGCTGTCACTGGGGTGGTGCCTTATGAGGTACTAATGTACTGTATATATTGGTACCTTAAAGCTATTTATTAGTACCAAAAAAATTCAAGAGGTACCCTTTTGTATTTATTAGGTACTAATGAGCGCCCTTGAGGTATGAATAAGGACCGTTTCAAAAAGGTACCACCCCATTGACAGCTCTTGTACCTTTATTTCTGAGAGTGCACACAAATATCTGGAACACTGTTTTATCTATATTTTGACATTATATTTGCACAAAAGTAATTTGACAACGTTGACATTTATTTATATAGAACATGCTTTTTTTTTTTATTATTCGATTTGTTGCCGACACTAAAATGGCACATCTTGTTTTTGACCCATAAAGAGTACGATCTCCATAAAAGATTAAAACTAACCATATGATTTTGTTAGCTCACATCTCATTAAAAAACAAACAATTGTTTGCCCTTGTAAGCTGAAAAAGCACTTCCTATTTGTTTTCAGTTAATTTATCAGATTATGTGATTTTGAGATAATGGGCGTGGCTGTCAGTTTTGACAACAAACAGTAATGGTAAGCAGGAAGAGTCTGTTAGGTTGTAATAACCCTCCCTAATCCCCTTTCCCAGTCTTTCTGAATGAAACTCACATTACTACATCCATTCAGCCTGCTGTAGAAAAAACAAGCCACGATACTGTTTACTCATTTAATATTCCATTTCTCTAGAAACTGCATCACATTATGATAAGAATAACAATCACAGCTTCTGGTAAACAGGGAATTTATAAGTCTCTCAATTTAAAAAAATAACTAAGTCAGTGACTTCATGTAAAATATCTCATTTGACACTTTCATTTAATTTCACCTCATCTTCTGATAGCAATACAGCAATGCTGAGTGCAACTTTTAATTAAAATAACATTACAGCAGCTCTACAGACTTTACTGTTAAATAGAGGTCTCTCATAGCAAATCCAATGATGCAGGTAGTGATGATTCTCCCCAGCCAATCAGTTTCAGCAGTGTTTAAATGTGACATTTTTGTAAATGTACGACTTGCTTGGAACCTCAGCCAAGGTAGTACTAAAAATAAAAGTGCATGCTGTTTGATTTATAAATGTGTTGTATGGAAAAAAAAGGTGTGGAAATTTGCATACGCCACTTCCCATGCAAAAGTTGAAATCTATAGACCTTTTTCATGAAACGCCAAAATTTTCCATTATGCTTTGCATGTATGCGTGAGCAGAATGCTTCAAACTTCCGGTTGGCAGCTTGATGTGTATATAGTCCCATTTAGACAGCTTTGAAACGATAGTTTTAATCTATTTTACATCTTTGAACTAATACAGCTGTTGATCAGTACTTCACAAACGTATTTCACAAAAATGTTTGACCCAAAGGTGAATAGAATATCAAAGTCGAGTAAAGGAAGTCGAGCCTTCCTATTTATGGCTCTAAAACTCTGGAATAGCCTTCCTGATAATGTCCGAGGCTCAGACACACTCTCCCAATTCAAAGCTAGATTAAAAACCTATCTGTTTAGTAAAGCATACACTCTCTGTGCATCACTTAGCGGGTTCCACACAGGTTTCTGCATCTTTTTTATATACACTATGAACAGCAGCTAAGCTAATTATTCTCTTTTTTCTCCATTTTCACCTGGGGATACTCTTCCCGAGGCCCTCAGACTATGCAGAGTCACTGATTCGATCCAAGACCAGCGACGAGATGATCCCAAGGTTTCCATATCCTGGACCAGGCCGTATCCTGAGCAGCTGCTGCGCTGGTCATGGAGGAGTGGAGATTATGAGACTGATTCCAGTGATGCTCCAGGGACAGACGAGTCTTCGCTGAGGACAGCTTTCAGCCTCCGCCACTGAGACTTCAGCTCTGCACAAGACGTTTGGCCAGCGGAGAAATTAAAATGGCCGTGCCCAACAGAGTCTGGTTTCTCTCAAGGTTTTTTTTTTTTCTTCACTTTTGCCAATCGCTGAAGTTTTTTTTCCCTCTCCACTGTCTCCTCTAGCTTGCATGGTTTGGGATCGATAAACCACACGGAAGTAAGCAAAACTGAACTGAACTTCAACACTAAAAAAACTGAACTACACTGTTCCAATTTACTATGACCATTTATGTGAAGCTGCTTTGACACAATCTACATTGTAAAAGCGCTATACAAATAAAGGTGAATTGAATGTCCTGTCCCACTAAAACACTGATTATAAGACTGGTACAAAGTTAAATAAAGTGGAAATGACAGAAAAACACATATTGTGGTAAATACTACACAATACAAATACCACACAATAATAAATGAAACATAAATGGCTCCCGATTACAGTCAACATGCAAATCAGCCAGCATAGTATCAGTCACATACTTTTATTGGGAATCTTTGGAAATTGCATGGCTTACATGCCTGTTAAGTTTCATGCCAGTAACATGGTTTGGTCTATAATGCAGGCATGTATTGTGTGTGATGTGTGTGTGCATTGAAGAGCCCACTGAGCACAATATAACAGCTGACAGGTCGGGAACACTGAAGCTATATTTCAACATCTTATCTAAAGGCCGACACTAAATTAGGAGAATGTTTTTCTCTCGCGCTTGAGCCACATCTGACAGAAGTACAATGTTGTGCATCACAAAAACGTGAGCCACTCAAAACGTTACTTTTGGACAATTGCAGTTGAGAAACGCTGTAAACGGACGTTCTAAGGATCCTACTAGAGGATGCAGATCGTTTTAGCGCCCTCCATGCAGGAACGAAGAAAAGGGTCTATAAAAAACAAACTTAATAGGATAACGTGCAAAGCTGTAAGTAATCATATTAAAATTAAATATCGACTCAACTGAACTACTTTATATCATCATATGAGCAATAATCATTATTATTAAATAATTCTGGTATACATCCTTTAACAACGGCGGTGTACAGTTCAGTATAAGTCTTGGAATTGTATAAACAATGACGAAAAAAATTAACCAAAAGAAACAATCTTTGCCGAAGATGGATCCGAACCCAGTTCTCTTGGGTCAGTACTCTGTGACGTAACTACTAGGTCATGTGACTAATTAAAAAACACTTTAAAAAAAAAAAAACCTTTAGGAGAGTTTCTATGCAAATTTTATAAATCCGACCCCTGGATCTATACCGAGTGGAAAAAAAAAGAAGATCTGTACCAAACTGAAATGGACCATATCATCAAAGTCGAAGTCAAAAAATGTTAATAGTCAAAGGCACTGACACTACAAATACGAAAATATGTATCTTAAACTAGGATTTAAGATTTTACACTTTTAAATGAAAGAATAAAATGCAAGATAACTCAAGGTTCCTTTGTGATTTTCTTTTCACAAGGTCAAAACATTTACCTTTTTTGAAACGTAGCTGTGCCATGTCATATCGGCCATAGTCTCTCAATAACAACACTCCTCCGGGTTTCAGCAATCGTCCCAATCTATTGATAGACTTTTGCATCCTGGAAAACATGGATTAAGAAGTTAAAGCATGAAGAGGGCAGGCAGTGATATTTAATGAAAGATGTGGACAGATCGCTCTGTTATACTTATTTGATAACAACTGGCTGACTGTTCCTTCCCTGATTATCTTTTTTTATGATTCGTTACTTTTCAAATAAAAAAATAAATGGTCATGAAATTGTGGCTTCAGTTAAAAATGTTATTACAGTATGTGGAACAACTAGACATAAGAAACATCAGTTTGGCCAAAGAAAATGATACAGAATGCAGTAAATGTGAACAGAATCGATGAATTCATAGAATTTGCCAATTTAATAAATGTAAAACAGTGCTGTACATAAAAAAATAAAAAACAGGACTGATGTCTGTAAATATTTCTAAAAATAGACCACTTCAATATGAAGTAAGCATGTCCTGGTGAATGCATGCCACCGTCTTTCCCACATTTACTCAAATTACATGTAAAATTGGTGGTATTTTCAGCATCAGAGTTTATTTGAGGAAACACTTTTGTCATTGTGTACACACAGAAATTCAAAGCCTTTACAACAATCCTTTAAAATAAAAGTTCACTTTAACAAAGAAAGACACGATAAAACATTTTTGCAGAGTAAAATCTATTTCTAAAATAATAATGATAATATTATTGAAATTGTGTTTTAGATAAATTATTACCCAACTGTTTTTCTCTAAATAAAATGGCATTTGAGGGGAAATAGTCATAAGGCATTACAAGATATTTGTAATAAATATTTACATATTTTTCTCTATAAAGAAAACCTGAATACATATCACAATATCAATTAATTGAACATGAGTATTAAAAAATAAAAAATAAAATAAATACAAAACTTTTATCATCTACCAGTTTCAATGGTTATTCTGAATTTTTACTTGAATTCAATAATAATAATAATAATAATAATAATAATAATAATAATAATAATAATAATAATAATAATAATAATATTAATAACAACAATAACAACATTAATAATAAGTGCCTCAAGTGACAGGCATTTCTTGTGCTTCTATCATAATACAAAAAACTGTCAGTATTAAGTTAAACAAATTCATATATTGTATGTGCATGTGTATTTGATTTTTAATTAACAAATGATTCATAACAATAACAAATGACATACACTGTATTTAAATAATGTTAGGGGGACTTTGAGGTTAAAATGTTACATTTAAAAAAACTGTTACACTTAAACTTCTTAAATAGTGGATTGCTCAGCTACTGTGCCAATAACACTTACTTCTCAGGGTGCAGAGCGGACAGCACAAATATGAGGACGATGACGTCCAGACTGTGATCTGGCATGGGATACTCTCCAGATTCATCACTCATATCATGGACAAATGCATGACAGCGTGATGGGTCATACTCAGGATTTGACTGCCAAAAAACTAAAATGTATCAAAACATGCATAAAGACAACCAGTTATTATTCGAGGACACATATTGCTCAATTCCTGTCACTTACTTTGACGAGGTCTACAGCTGTGCTGGAGAAATCACAACAGTAAACAAAGAGTCCTGGGTCACTGTAAGGCAGGAAGGAAAATAAGCATTTTATGCACATAAAAGGTAAACTCTGCTTGGATTATATCTGGACTCACTTGTTGGTTTTTAAGATGGGAAAGACTGTATTGCCTACTCCACAGCCCACCTGAAGACCCCCAAACACACACACACGCACAAAAGGTGTTATTACAATAGTCACAATAGGGTTTCTGCAGGTTTTAATAACTGAAAATGTAAGAAATTTCTGAGACCATTATAGATGAACTATAACACACATACCGATATTGGTCTTATTCATAGTAATAATAGAGCAAAATATATTTGGACTAGGCAGGCAAAGAACTTTACAAAAACATGCTTAAAATATGCAAAAATGCATTCTTAAGCACGGTGTCGTATTAGTGGGACATTAAAAAAATTTAATATTACAAGATTATTGTTGGAAAATTTTGGGAATAAAGTAGAAATGTTGCAAGAAAAGAGTGGTGATATTATGAGTGAAGTCGAAATATATTACATTAATAATGTTTTTATTAATTTATGCTTTGTTCAAAGCTGTATTTTTTCCCTTGCTTATTAATTGCATCCAAATTTGATTATTTACTAAATATATTTGAGTGTACTGTGAATATTTTTGTATTAATATATGCATGACTATATTCATTTGTGTTTGTGATTATACAGTTAAAGTCAGAATTATTAGCCCCCGTTTTTTTCCCCCAATTTCTGTTTAACAGAGATTTTTTTCAACACAATTACAAAACATAATATTTTAATAACTCATCTCTAATAACTGATTTATTTTCTCTTTGCCATGATATTTGAATAGATATTTTTCAAGACACTTCTATACAGCTTAAAATGACATTTAAAGGCTTAACTAGGTAATTATGTTAACTAGGCAGGTTAGGGTAATTACGCAAGATTTTGTATAATGATGGTTTGTTCTGCAGACTATCAAAAAATATATAGCTTAAAGGGGCTAATAATTTTGACCTTAATTTATTTATTTTTTTATTAAAAACTGCTTTTATTCTAGCCGAAATAAAACAAATAAGACTGTCTCCAGAAGAAAAAATATTATCTGACATACTGTGAAAATTTCCTTGCTTTGTTAGACATCATGCTGGAAATATTTAAAAAATATATATTTCACATGCATCACTGCGTTCACTTTTGACCTAGAATACAATATATCAAGTTTTTAAGGACATCAATTGTGATTTTTTTTTTACTTTTCAAGAACCAGCAGAAACTCTGTAATACTTTCCTAGCATACTCACTCTTATTGCCCATAATGTAAGCCATTGGTGAGTAAATTAGCAGTATTTCCATTCATAGCTGCAAAAATATGCTAATAAAACAAAGCTTGCTTTTTATCCCATGTGTAACAGAAAACAAAAATGACCCTGCCTGGGAAACAAAATACCTGGGTGCAAGATACCAAATATACAATTTGACCTCTATTCTTGGAAATTACTATAATTATTTTCCAACACAATAAATTACATACACAGAGTTACATAAGCACATAGAATAAAGCATTTACATTATCTTGCTATATGATACCTGACATTTAAAAAAAAAAAAAGATTTTGTGAAGCTCAGCACATGACTTTTGGCCAGCGGAGAAATTAAAATGGTCGTGCCGAACTGAGTCTGGTTCTCTCAAGGTTTTTTTCTTCACTCTCCTATCAGGTGAAATTTTTTTTTCCCTCTCCGCTGTCGCCACTGGCTCGCATGGTTCAGGATTGGTAGAGCTATGCATCGATGAATTTGCTCTTCAGTGTCTAAACTCTCAGTAATGATTTTAAATCACACTGAACTGAGCTGAGCTAAACTGAACTGAACTTAAACACTAAAAACTGAACTACACTGTTCCAGTTACTATGACCATTAATGTGAAGCTGCTTTGACACAATCCACATTGTAAAAGCGCTATACAAATAAAGCTGAATTAAATTGAATGATTCCTGACATTTACATCCAGAATGTTTTTAATGCAACATCCCAAAATACATGGATGAAAACACAGCTAGATGACACTGGGCTCCATTGACTTTCACTGAATGAAAAAAAAAGGCAACTGGAACATTTTTCAAAATATTTATTTTTTAGTTCTTTGCAAGACTATTAAACAGCAGCAGATTTTTGGTTGACCGATTAAAATTTTTAAATGTGTCTGCTGCATTGCAAAACTCACCTCCAGGATGCGATAGGATGCAGAGGCTCCAGGAAATTCATCATGTGTGTGATTCGAGGAAACATCTTCACCATTTAACATGTGTTCCAGGCTTTCCTTCTCCTCAGCACCCCGTAAATGCTTTTGCTGAGGTGCAAGCTCGGGGAACTCTGTAAAGAGCCAGTGACGATCCTTGAAGAAGCGGTTCTCGTGAATGGTGTAAAAGTCATTCCAGTATTCATTGGCCCTGTCGTCAAACTCCTCTAGAAATAGAGAAGCAAATAAAGAGATGATTTACCATAAGGAAAAAAATACTTAGTAAGCAAGCAGGTTTGACTTTACTAGTAAATACATGTTTTTAATAGTATGATAATGTTCACACATCCTTATTAAAATACCGGTTAAATATGCTATGTTTAGATAACCTTAAGTGTTTTTGACTGTCTGTGCTGATGACATTTTTCTTTATATTTGAGTAACAGGCTTAAATGGATGGCCATAAAGTAGATAAATAAATTCCAAATATGTTGATAAATTTATAAATACAAATTTAAAGTTTATTGTTTTTTTGCATGGCAATACCAAGATTGAATTAATGCAGAAATTACATCCATACACCAATTTAAAATACCAGGAAATGCTAAATAAAAAATAAACAAACTATCCAACAAAATGTATTCCAAGTAAACCATTCTAAAATATACAAGGTTGCAGCAATAAACACTATTTGACAATACTATTTCTTTGTAAATTGCTTTTAAACCCAGTTTATCTTTGATCTAAAGTGTTCTATATGATATCTAATTTAGGTTGTACATTTGTAATTATTAAAATAACTGAAACTAAAACCTAAAGATAAATTATAGACATACAGAAAAAACTATAAGTAACAAAATGACAAAGGTGTGCAATATAAAATAAAAAGCTGAAAAAAATAAACAAAACAAACGCAATAAATAACAGCAAATAAAACATCCTAAAATGACATTAGGTACCACAAAGTACCACACAAAAAAGGCCCACACCTTGTTTTTCTGCTGGGAGAGGTTGACTGTTTTCTTGCACTTTTTTCAAGGCAGCCTCCTCCTGTTCTGCTGACCACTCCACATTATCCCTGAAACACAATTAGACTGAGTGAAGTGGACATAAACCAGGATTTGCAGATATTTGCATCACATACAGAAACTATGACTAGTACTAACCAGAGATGGGACCAAGTCATTGTTTGGCAAGTCACAAGTAAGTCTCAATTCATTGCCCTCAAGTCCCGAGTCAAGTCCCGAGTCAAGACAGGCAAGTCCCGAGTCAAGTCCCGAGTCAAAGGCAACAAGTCTCAAGTCAAGTCCAAAGTCCTGCAGTTTGATTTTCGAGTCTTTTCGAGTCTTTTTAACAGAAAAATAAAATATATACAGATTAGGTATGGTTTTAAGATCTGTATTAATTAAACAAACCTTTTTTTATTAAAGAACATTGCTCAGATATATAAAAATACAAATGCAATTTTCTTAAAAAGCACTGAACAGTGCTGCGTCTCGTCTCCACAGCATAATGCACAAGAACGAGTTCCACCAAAAAAAGACTCCATTTTGCCTCACATCACACAGAAATTGCAGGTCTCCTGCTGTCTAATTCATTAAGTTTAGTTGTGCTATGTTATGTCTTCGGTGATCAACTTGTGATTAACCAAAATTACATAACCTCAATGTGGTAGCAGTAGACCAACTCCTGTATATGCTGCAAAGTTAAATTGAGTGAAATTGGAATTTTGTCAATTGAATCTCGTGTGTGCTAAAGAGATGGAGTTGCAAATCCGTCTAGCAGCAATGTAAAATGGTAGCACATATTGTTAATGAAGTAGGCTACTTCATACAAACAATAAAGTTGTTTTCTTCACATAACATTGAAGAGCTTTGCTCTCTACCTTGTGTGATGCTCGTGCATGGATTTCCTCTGTTTGTGGACAAAACTGATTGCAAGTTCTCAAATTTTCTCTCGCTCTCAAATATGCACTGCTCACACACAAATTATCTTGAGCGCTCTCAGAGATTATATGCAGACTCACAATTTGTGTCGTGTTCCCTCTTCCTTTCATGCTTTTAGATATGATTCATATTGCTGCACTGTTTAATAACAATAACCAAAATACTAAAACAGACTTATATATTAAATGTTTAATCTAATAAACCATAACATTTTTGGTTGTTTTATATGATGAGATATTTTCAGTTTCAAACACTTAAAGACAGAGAATAGACCAGTGGTGCCCCCCTGAAAATTTGCTTAAGGGGGGCCAGAAGAGGCCAGCTACGTCAGTGGCACCAATCAATCCACAATAATTTAGTGGCTGCTATTTATTTATTGAAATATTGCATTGTATTGCATTTATGTAAGTAGATTTAAATAAATAATGTCAACAGCAAAATCATATCGGGGTGGCTAGAGTTTACACAGGGGTAACACCCCTTGTAAAGGGGTTTACACCACTATAAGGCACCTCTGGAATAGATGTTGGATGTAAAGAATACATTTTATTTTAAAAGCATTTAAACAAAAACTAATGCAAGCAGAAATGTAACTGTGATAAAAATAAGGAAACACTTGATAAGGTATTATAGCCTACTGTATTATTCACTCTTCAAATAAATCTCACTATCAATCTCATTTTATCATGGCAGCTAAAATAAAGTAAACTAGTGTCTGCTGGCTTTCACTTTGCTGATGAGATTGTGGAGGACATTTTTCATGTCATCCTCTTCATTTTGAGGAAAGCTGTTCCACAGGGCCCCTGAACACGTATATTGGTATGTACTGTGTTTTGAACAGTAGCCTACTACAGTAAAGAACTTCAATTGATCAGTTGTGGTAATACTATAGTTGCTATGGTAACACAAGTGTAATATAAACAAATTACCCAGTGCTGTATTATTTTACAATATAGGGTATTTTATACTACAAATCACTACACTTTACTGTAGTTAAAACTACACTTTGTATTATTTTATCTGTTCACTATTGGTAATACTACTGTATTATGAAGCATTCATTAACAAGTCGTAAATAATACTAGCCTAAAACATAAGTATAATACAAGTATACAACAAGTATAATACTCAAAAACACTAGAATTTATTAAAGAATTTACCTTAACCTTTTAGTTTTTTGTGTATTGTTAATAAATAGTAAAGCAAGAAAGAAACCATATCAACATTCTTGGAATAACCCTTCGCTAAGCCTCGCCCTCCTTAGTTACTGTTGCTACGCCTGTCAAGCTTTCATGCCTGGCACATCTATTACAGTGTGTATGCGCTGGTGTCAGACATTCCCTAAGGATTTAATTAGTCATTTTTGGCAAACAGGTGAGATATCTGAGAAAGCCAGACAAAAGAGGACTGCAGTATACATTACAGGGGTATATTCACAACATAATAGCAACTGATTAGAAAATAATTTTATCAAAATTGAAGCAAGGTTAGCCTAGCCACCTCATACGCTGAACATTCAACAGCATAGTTCATGCACAGCAGGAGAGGTGAAATGATAAAATAATCTAATAACCTAAGAAACTGATGGATTTGTGCCGAATATTAGCATCATTGACCCATAACAGTGTACAGTACATATTACTGTCAGCATGTTTGTGTGCTCTTTATCCAGTTTTTATTCAAATTTGCAGTTAAGTGGAAGAAAAAAATTGAAATGCACATTAAAGTATAAATAACAGAAGTGAACAAATAGATTTTTCCTACCAGCAAATATTAGTGTATGTATTTATATGCGCTACAATAGCGAGGATTTAAACTAAGCAGTGCTCACAGGGTTCAACGCTAAGGATTTTTTCTACTGGCCCGATCGGGCCAGTGGTTCTGATTTTTACTTGCCCAGCCCAAATTTTCACTGGCCCCACCAAAAAAAAAAAAAGAAGTTAATCGCTATTATACACACACACACACACACACACACACACACACACACACACACACACACACACACACACACACACACACACAGTTGTTTTCAGAATTATTAGTCCCCCTAAATTATTAGCACCCCTGTTTATTTTTTTCCCCAATTTCTATTTAACAGAGAACAGATTTTCTCAGCACATTTCTAAACATAATAGTTTTAATAACTCATCTCTAATAACTGATTTATTTTCTCTTTGCCATGATGACTGTAAATAATATTTTACTAGATATTCTTCAAGACACTTCTATACAGCTTAAAGTGACATTTAAAGGCTTAACTAGGGTAATTAGGTTAACTAGGCAGGTTAGGGTAATTAGGCTAGTTATTGTATAATGATGGTTTGTTTTTGTAGACAGTCTGAAAAACAATTAGCTTAAGAGGCTAATAAATTTTACCTTAAAATGGTTAAAAAAATGTTTTTATTCTAGCCAAAATAAAACAAATAAGATTTTGTTCAGAGGAAAAAATATTATCAGACAAAATATCAACATTTCTTTGCTTTGTTAAACATCATTTAGGAAATATTTTAAAAACAAAAAACAAAAAACAAAAGGGGGCTAATAAATCTGTATATATATTTACGGTAATTTTTAAAATGTTTAAGGAAAACTATTCAGTTCATCAAGGCTATATTTATAAATGTAAAAAAGGTATAATTGTTAAATATTTATTAAAATTTTAAATAACTGCTTTGTTATTGTATTTAGTTTCAAATAAAATAATTACTCCAGACATTATTGATTTTATAACTATTACCATTAATAAATATAATAATAATTAATATTAGTGATTTCTGAAGGATCATATGACTGGAGTAATGAAGCTGAAATCTCATCTTTAAAATCACTGGAATAAATGAATAAATTAAATGATAAAGTACTTTTGAACAGTTATTTTATAGTGCAACATTTCACAATTTGTATTTATGATGAAATAATTGCAGCCCTGGTGAGCAGAAGAAGCTTGTTTTAACATATTTAATCACACTGACCCCAAACTTTTGTGTATTGTGTATAGAATATTTTATAAGTGAAAATGTGCACTTTAATTTTAACAACCCACAGACATCGTCACCAAATACAAATCGAGGTCAGACTTTCTCATATATACAGAGCCTCATTTCAATTGTCAGGTTTTGTAGAAATCGATCAATTGAATTAATCAATCTATTAAAGAAACGTTGACTATAATTCTGTATTTTAGGCTTAAATTATAGAGAGACATAGTAGATGAACCGAGACTGCATCAGATCAATGTAAATCTTTCTTTCGAGCTGTCAGTGCGGAAATGAACAAAAACAACAGGCCTAATACAACATAGGCCTATTATACGATTAAAATATGGAAAAATTAACAGATAGTAATTTCGGTCAATTTTCCTGACGGATAAACCGAGATCAGGCTGGATGAACAGCTCTCGGTAATATTTCAGCATGCTTTCACTTTCGCATTTACCGGTAAGAATGACATCTCGCCCTGCTCATCATTCCCTCTTCATATAGCCGTATATATGGCTATTACACGATCATGATACACTGTGATATAGCCTGGGTCGTTAGTTCGTTGCATTGTTTTGTTTTCTCGCTACAATCGATACGCTCAAAAGGACAGAGACCGCGTCTCATTCAGGCGATCTTGGACTGATTGATTTGGCGCGGAAGCGAGCGCAACTGCTGGATATATGCTAAAAAAACGCGCTAACGGGTGAAACGAGACAGATTCCGAAACAAACGTCTATGTGTGAAAGCACCGTAAGATTGTATTTGCACACAATTGACAGACAGTCGCAGCACGCAGCTCTGGCTCGACCTGGCAGGCAAAAAGGCAGCAGCTGGCCCGATCGAGCCAGTAACATTTTATACACTGGCCCGAGTGTCTCGCACGCTGGCCCCGGGCCATCGGGCAGTCCTTATTGTCGAGCCCTGGCTCATAATATCGAGTGGAAAAAAAGAAAAAGACCGCTGGGAAGCATAACCTGCTTTGTTTTTTTTTTGTTTTTTTTTTAAAGAAACACAGTTTAGATCTGTTTAGGATAAGAGGAGTGTGAGTTATTGCCACCTATCATTGAATGTGAATATCGAAAACAAAACCAACTTAGCTTAACTCCTTTACCGCCCCTCACACAGCTTGATCCACGCTGGCATTTCTCCTCTTGGGCTTTGGTTTTGAAAAGGGAAAAGCGAGTATTGGCTCGATCTCAAGTTCAAATTCAAATTCTCTCTGCGTTCGCTTGACTTTTGTCCACTCCGGCGCCTCATAGTAGTCACGTTGGATACTGTCGAATCAAAACAATCTACCGTGCTTCGATTGGACGTCATGCCGAAAGCGCGCATGCTCACACACACGCGCGCGCATGCTGTCACACACACGCACACATAAACGGGGAGAGAGAGAGAGCGGTCCATGTCAACATACTTTTTTATCGTTGGGCTTTTCATGGGAAGCAGCAAGTCTTTACAAGTCAATAGGGGCAAGTCCTAGTCAAAGTCCAAGTCATTTATGTTCAAGTCCAAGTCGAGTTGCAAGTCTTTTTATATTTTGTCAAGTCGAGTCTAAAGTCATCAAATTCATGACTCGAGTCTGACTCGAGTCCAAGTCACATGACTCGAGTCCACACCTCTGGTACTAACCCACGCTCTATTAAGTCACATCATTCCATATACAGACATACTTCTATAACTCTGTTGACTCTGACGATCGAGCCTAAGGTCCACAGTCACGCAAAAAATCTTGGAGTTACTTTTGACACTGAGTTAAAGTTCGACAAGCAAATAAATTCAGTTGTCAAAAGTGGTTTCTATCAATTAAGGAACATTGCCAAATTGAAGCCTTTTCTGTCTTCTAAACTGTTGGAAACCATCATTAATGTTTTTATTATGTCAAGACTGGATTACTGTAACACTTTGCATTCAGGAGTTTTGCAGGCATCAATTGCAGGCCTGCAGCTGGTTCAAAATGCAGCTGTGAGGCTTTTAACTGGGACAAAAAAAAATTCTAGTAACTCACCAGTTTTATCATCTCTTCACTGGCTCCCAGTACAATTTAGGATTCAATATAAGTTATTACTACGTGTTTTTAAAATTCGGAATGGTCTGGCACCTATTTACATCTCTGAGCTTCTTCACTGGCACACTTCATTGAGGCCAATCAGGTCGGAAACCAAGTTTCAGCAAGTCCCCAAAACATGGTTGAAATCAAGAGGTGACAGGGCTTTTTTCTGCTGCTGTCTGCCGCCTGTGGAATGGTCTGCCTTTACATATCAGGCCATGTTCTTCACTTGGTGCTTTTTAAGTCTCATCTAAAAAATCACCTTCTGTGTCTTGCCTTTTGATTGCAATTAATACATTTTAATCTGTTTTATATATTTTGCTTATTTTTATATATAGGTATAGATTTTGTATGCTGGTCTTTTTGTAAAGCACTTTGGTCAACATCTGTTGTTTTTAAATGTGCTCTATAAATAAAGCAAACAAACAAACAAACAAACAGACTGTAAAAGCTCTTTTTAAACCACTCCATATACGTGAATACACATTTTATTACAATGCAAGTTTTTAGAAATGGCAAGTTTAAATACCCATATTATTAGGCATGGGACGATAACCGTGTTTAAGGTATACTGCGGTTTGGAAAAGTCAAGGTTTTAAAACCGTCCAAATTTTCTGCAATGCCATTCCTAAGGTTTGAGTAAAAAATTTTATTTAGATTTTTTTGTTTTGTTTTTTAGAACAACAGTCCATCTCCAAAGATGCTGTTTTAAATTGTAAAAAAAAAAATCTGTGTTTTTGAAACTAATGAAGACAGCACAAGTCAATAATTCATTTGCATGATTTAGCCTGCATGTTTACTGCTCCAAAATATTTAAAATGTTTCCAAAATTAAAATATACTGTGTACTAAGGGGGGAAAGTTTTTGTTTTTTTACCCAGAAATTTAAAAAGAATATATTTTAGAGCAGTAATCACAATACCGTGAAACAGTGATGTTTAGATCGAAGGTTATCATACAGTCAGAATCTTGTACACCAGCCCATGCCTACATATTTTGCTTTAAATAAGCTTTAAAACTCTTTTAAGTCAAAGGTTTTCACAGGGGGGATTTGGAAAATCTCTTTATTGCTCCACAATTCTCGAAATACTGTGAACACACTTGTTTCACAATTGAGCCAAATTATGCATGAACATATACTTTACAACTTTCACAATATAAATGTTTTTAAAACTTTAAAATTTGCTGAGTGTAAGTGCTATTGAAATGGAGATTTACATTACTCCATGTCCATTCATTACAATGTTCAGACACATATTGATTAAGTGTGACAAATGTACAGTTGAAAGTCTATTTGAATGTTTTCTTTATTGCAGACGTAAAAAAAAACAAAAAAAAAAAAAACAAAACAAAAAAAAAAACAACGAGAAGCCAAAACATCCTTAATATTTCCAGGTTGATTCCCTGCAGTTTACTACAAATACATTTGCCATTAGGTGCTAACGATTTAAAAACAGCTACCATTTACCATCTCAATGTTAAAAAAATCTGAGAGTCAGTCTGACATGTGTGATTAAGGTTAAAGATGCTTTTATATTCGCACATTTCTTAATACGATAATTTCAGAAACGTACTATTTGGAAATTCTAAATAGGGAAAGCAGCCAATGACTTTCAAAGCACAGTAAATTAAATAATGCTAGGGTTGTTTTGAAGACATACATACACAATAATCAAAGTAGCGTGGTAAACAATATAAAGCATTTTGAGGGATGTAAACAAAAACAATAGTCCCAACATATTTCCTGTTGTACATTTAATTTCTATAGCTTCCGAGAATCTAAAAAGAGCCACATATTAATAAATAATGTCACGATAGATGTCTTAACAATACATTATGATTGAATTGCCTCATGTTTCAGTTATGCAAAAGCATGATAACAAGCAGGAAATGTTCATGGGCCAATGACATGACCACACTGAAGTGTAGGAGAGTCACTGTTCAAAAATAAACTAAGTGCGAATATAAAAACAACTTCACCTCGATACCGGTGTGAGTTTCTCCTGTCTGGAGTGTGTGAATGAAACACACAGACAGTCCTACTTACCACGCGTTGTGCTGAAACACCTGTCGCGGGTCTGTGAGGAAGCGAGTGCCAAACTGCGGTCGTTTCTGGGCCTCAGCTGAATTTTCCGTGGCCCCACCGGCAGTTTCTGGCATATTTTCTATGACTGGAGAATCAGCAGCAACAGCAGGAGCAGCCATGATGGACACGCGAACCGGATGCACATGGCTGTTCTGCATGACGTCACTCTCCCCGCCTAGAATTGTTATTTACCAGGAAATGTCGCCACCTCTCGGCTGTCCTGTAAAATTGATTGATTGGCCATTAGAGAGTTTTTTTTCTATTCTCACAGTTTTATTCATTCATTTTCTCTTCGGCTTAGTCCCTCTTGAACCGCCAACTTATCCAGCATATGTTTTATGCAACGGAGAAAACCCACGTGAACATGCAAACTCCACACCGAAATGCCAACTGACCCAGCCGAGGCTCGACCTTCTTGCTGTTTGGCGACAGCGCTGCCCACTGCGCCACCCATTTTCACCATATACACGGTAAAAAAATGTTGGGTTCCACACAATTATTTGAGTTAGGAGAACATGAAGGGATTAAGTTAACTCGTTGGTTTTAACACATTTAAGAGAACTGAACATAAAACAATTAAGTTGTCTGCAGAGAAACTCAAGAATTGTGTTTTTTTTTTCAACTCATTTTAGTTTGAACAAACAGCAAATGTATTTTTATGAGTGTAGATTTTGAAGGATTCGGATTTCTGGATTTTATTATTATGCATTATTATGTATTTATTATTTTTATTTTTTTGTTATCATTCTTTGTTATTATTATTATTATTATTATTATTATTATTATTATTATGTATTTAGTATTATTATTATTATTATGTATTTATTATTATTATTATTATTATTATTTTGTATTGTTTTTATTTGTTATCATTGTTTATTATTATTATTTGTATTATTATGTATTATTATTATTATTATTATTATTATTATTTATATTTATTATTATGCATTATTATGATTTTTATTTATTTTTATTATGCATTATTATGTATTTATTGTTATTATTATTATTATTATTATTATTTTGTATTGTTTTTATTTGTTATCATTATTTATTATTATTATTTGTATTATTATGTATTATGTATTATTATTATTATTATTATTTATATTTATTATTATGCATTATTATGATTTTTATTTATTATTATTATGCATTATTATGTATTTATTATTATTATTATTATTATTATTATTATTATTATTTCTTTGAGAGCTAATAATAAATTAGAGCAAAAAACAAAAGAGACCTCTGCAGCTGCTGCCATGGAAACATCAAATCCAGAAGAGTTCAGTGTAACTCCAGAAGCATATGTCTTGTATCTATGGCAACAAAAGTTTCCGAAGCAGGCAGCTGCTGTATATGCAGGAATGTGTCAAACTAAACCTGGGAGCAGAGTAAAACTGTTTACATTATTTTACATCATGCTTTGCGCTTCATTTTGACACTTATAGGACGTCAAAAGCATTGAAGAGCCTTCCTGTTACAACCTATCCTCCTTAAAAATCTTAAGGACGTTGACACTTTATGCATTAATGAAGCCACTTGTGATTGACGGAGACATATTGTTGATATGATCGTTATTTGTGAATGTGACAGTCTCTTCAAGCCTGGCACACTCACTGCACTCTCTACTGTACGTAAATTCAAGCAACAGGGGATATCGCTAGCAACAGAAAGACCACCTTGACAACAGGACCCTTAGGACAAAAAATAGACCAGATATGACAGGTTGGGATGTATGTAACAGTTCATAAGTGTATACGAATGTGCAGTGCCTTTGAATAATATTTGACACGTTCAAGTTCTCTTTCTCACCCACTATCTTCCTCTCACTTGGCTTATATAGCTCACAAATCTGAGGAAAGTGGGTTTACTTTTGCCAGTTTTGACTATTATTCTTGTAATTCAGACTTTGTTTGTTTACAATTGGGAGGATCTTGCAATTCTGAGATTAAAAAGTCATTGTTACCTTTTTATTTTGTTGTTGTTATTTTACTTAGTGGAAAAGGCTTCCATATCTAACAATGTAAAAGTCAATGGTAATGGTAACATATGATAAAAATGGCAAGTTGCTAGGTTAGAAGTGTAGGTTTGTTTTTACCGATTTTGACGATTTTCGCTCACAAATAAAAGTACACTGTAAAAAATATAAAAAAAGAGTAGTTTTTGTCTAATTACTATTCTAAATATTTATATATTCTGATATATAATTTTGGGTTTCATTCTTAATTTGTCAACTTTAACTGGCACTTTCACCTTTATTTAGGAACATTTAATGCATGCCCTCCATGACAAACGAGATATTGGATGCGGAACTGCTGGAAGAGTTTAGTTTTAATAGAATATTTGATACTGCATGTATTGAATAATAGGAACAATTTTTTATTATTTTTTGTCTCTTTTCTTTTAATCAAACAATTATTTGTATTGGTCATGTAAGGGTCATATATTAACTGAACTTTTAATGTTGTGGGTGAGTGCTGTGCATACTAATTAGCATTTTTGCAGAAGTAGATAGATGCGGGTCCAAAATTAAATTCAGCTCTGCAGAAACTTCCTGTCTGAAGAGAGGTGTTAAAACTGAACACAGAGCACAGATAGATGTATACTTTGTTGTTGGGCAGAGAATTCGTAGAAAAAGAGGAAGTATGTCGAAGGTGTGGCCAATGGAGGACTGAACAATGACTGACAAGTGACGTTACACCAAAACTCCACCTGTTAAGATCGGTGGTGTATATATGCTGAAGTTAGGAAATGTATGTTAGTTGCGAACCTCTTGAATGTAATTCTTGTATTGCATTGGGGTAATGTAACTCAGAGCTCTGTCATCGAATTATTCATTTGTATCCAATAAATTGTTACGATTTTTGACATTGAAGAAAAACCTCTCCAGACCTTTTCTCTTGAACACGCATGGAATTGGCTTGATATTCCAACACATGTTGTATGGAAGAAAAAAAATGTATTTCTTGGTAAGTGCAGAGAATAGCATCAAACAGCCTTGTGTTTATAAACTATCCTGTCACAAAATGCGGCAAAAATCATACGCTGTGAAAAAGTTTTTTCCCTTAAACAAGCGAAATAATGTGCTTATGGAGTAAGCAAAATAATATAGTTTTTCGTCTGTTTTAATGGGCACCTATTTAACCCCTTTTACAAGATGTAAGGTAAGCCTTTGGTGTCTCCAGAATGTGTCTGTAAAGTTTCAGCTCAAAATACCCATCAGATAATGTATTATAGCCTCCAGAATCTGCCCATTTTGGTGTCTGAGTACATTGTAGCTGTTTTTGTAGCCTGCGGCTTTAAATCCAAATGAGCTGCTTCTCCCTGCTCAGTGTTCTCACGTGCGTGTCTGCTTCTCTTTATGCGTTATGTCAAATAAACAGCCATCAGTAAAGTGGGATCCATAATAAAATCTCTAGGGGAACTCTTGTCCTAACTTTCCACACCCTAGCGGCGCCCCTGGTGTCAAGTGATCGGCGTGTCCCAGGGCGCCTGCCTTGTGCGTAGCCATGCATTTATAGTTCTGCGTGCTATTTGTTTTGCTCTGCAGTAAGAGAGGAAGCTGGAATAGGTTTTTATGTTCCTCTGTGTCGAGTTTCTTTGAGGTGTAGGGATGGTATACAGTTTGACCCAAAGAATGACCAGTCTGGTAGATGACAAAGAGCTGGAGTCAGAGATTTAAATAAATAAATAAATAAAGTTTTTATTGAAGATAGTTTGCAGTTTCATTAGCAGTAGCCAGCTTCAACACTCGTAATGAGTTCCTAGGCCGCTCTCCTTACAATTACCAATCAATAACAATTATACTTTCACATAATGTCATTAACTGCGTCATACATATAGGTGTTCTAACCTGATGGGTTAAAACACAGATAGACTAGGAAATTTCAACATGGGGTTTGTGCGTATATTCTGAAATATATCTTAAGCATAAGCGTCAGACATCCCTTAGACTGATTAGAGCTTACTCCAGACCTGTGAAACGGTTCAACAATCAAATAGAACACACACACTTAAAGTATAATCTGTTTCTTATCCAAGGCTGAGTGTATTCTCAGCCATCTTTATCAAAACTGTTTAAAAACCGGTATAATCTACATTCAGGCAGTTATATTCTTACTATATAAAGTTTATCTTAAATGAAAGTAGGATCACTTTAAAAGATTTAACCGTAAAAATAGCAAAATCACTTTAGAAATTTTAGACAGTATTAACTACTAGAAATACCAATAGAAACAGTTGATTCCAGTCCTCAGCCCTCAGTTCCACTCAAGGTCTCCGTGACCTCTGAACTAGTTTGGTGGCTTCTGAAAATAGTTATAAAGAGACAGGCAAATGCACTGACCTTCTTATATTAAGCAATGTGTTAACTTATTCATTAATTAAAATCAATTCACAGTTAAATACTCATTTAAATCATCGAATAATTATACTTAATAAAAAAATTATGAGAAACAAGATGATGAGAAAAGGATAAATGTTGGTCCATGGTGAGACGGATTGGAAAGCAGAAATCCGAATCCTACAGAGGTATTTTGTTTTTTCTGAACGCTACAAATAGCTAAAACGTACTCATTCAGAGGCGTGAACCAGTTGATGTGCAACAACTTTAATTATAAGGTGACCACAAAACAAAAGTTTACATTCGCACCTCCTTCACAGGCCTCGACACTTTTAACATTTTATCGGACTCACGGTTCTTAGCACCGCCCACACTCGTCACTAGTACCAAGCCAACCAATCACAAAGCTTGGGCTTTTTTTTAAAGGTGCTCGTCAGCGCCGGTGTCAGCCACAGCGAGGGCGCGCACACACACACACACACACACACACACACTAGTGTTTACTGACACCATGCGGCTGTGGTGATTATAGCAGTTAGAAAGTACATAGTGATTTTACTGTTTTTATTACAAACATGCTCTGCTTTAAAAGCTTTTTAAACTTAAAAAACTTCGCAAAAAAACACAGAGTTATAAAAAAATATTTTAATCCCAGTTATTTGCAATAAAATGTTCTGTGGACATGTTTACAGGTTATAGAGACATGGCACCTGTCGAATTCGGTGGGCAGAGAAAACCACACTCCTAAGTCAAAATCACTGGGATTTAGGTCCTATT